TGGCTGTGAGGCTCAACCTCTGCACGCAGACATACTGTTGTTTGTTGGTGTCAACTGAGGTCACCCACTGGGTGTGGCTGGGCAGAAGCCACTTTTGAGGGGTGCCAACCTGTGTGGGTCCTCAGGGAATCACCAGGGTGGGGTGAGCAGTGTTAGTAAGTCTTAATGGACAGTGTGAGAAATGGTGCCTGCTGGTTTCAGACCAGCTGGGTGGAAGGAGAGTAAAAAAAGGGGGAAAAGCTGACATGTATTAATTACCACTTTTGATCCTAGAGAAAGTTCCAACAATTCTGTGTCCTACCAGCACATGCCCTAAAATTAGTCAATGTATCACCTTCTCAAGTGACTCCGGTGCTTTTCAAACTGCTCCCTCTGTACTGGAGTTTGGAATGAGCACAGTGTTGATTTCCTACAGCCCTTTGCCTCTTCCACATATAAGCTTTGTTGGTTTTCAAAGCCAGATGTTATTCGGGCTCCTCTTCCTGGTGCAGGTTTCCTTTCGGGGGAGGGAGGCTCTGTGGTTGTGATATACATCTCTTACTTGTGGGTCACTGCACAGAGAGTAGGGGTTAGGGTACGTCTTAACTCGAGAGTCTCTACTCCTACCTGTCTCAGTGTGGCTTTTTCTTTATATCTGTAGTTGCAGAAAAGTCTTCAAGTCATTCTCAGAGATAATTGTTCTAGATGTAGTTGCAGTTTGGTGTTAATGAGAGGAAGTGAGCTCTGGATCTTCCTACTTTGCCATCTTGAACCCAAAGCCAGGAACCTTTCTCTTGAATGCCAGTTTAGCTTGTCTGTGGAATATCATTCCTTGTGGTTGGTACACTCCTTTTAACAAATGTGTCTCCAGATTACCGAGTCACTTTTCCAGTTACTTCTTTGTTTTTTATGTTTAAAATTATTTTATTTTGTCCTTTTATTTTATTTTTTGTATTTGAGGTCTTCCTGAAATCTGATTCTAAGTTGTCCATTTACATCTGACACTAAAAACCTGATGGGTAGCTCTCTTTACATGAATAGGACTTGGTGACTGACTTTGCATTATTGGGATTGTTTATGTGAGGGATTTTTTGGATCTTCAAATGCCATCCTGTAGGGGGTCTGTTTTCTATGACTATTCAGTTGTTTGAGGGAAAAACCTCTTTTTTTTTTTTTTTTTAATCATCTGAGGACATTTTTCCATTTTTTGTTCAGATAGAGGGGGAAGGGGGGGGAGGGGAGAGAGAAAGAAACATCGACGTGAAAGGGACACATTGAGTGGTTGCCACCCACACTACCCAACCAGAGCCGGGGACAAACTGCAACCGAGGTGCTAGCCCTCAGTGGGAACCAAACTTGGGTCTCTCCAGACCACAGGCCAACGCTCCAACCACTGAGCCAAACCGGCCAGGGCGAAAAACCTCTTTTTTCCTATGTAGAGCCTAGAGGAATGCAGCTAATGCTTTGTCCTTGAGTTCAAGGAACAGGCCTTGAGTGTTGGCATTGTACATCAGCTGTATACTCGGGGCTCCTCTTTTTAGCTCTCTAATGTGCTTGCATTTGCAGGTTTTGAGTTTGTCTTCCTCCTCTCTGTAAAGTCAATTAGAACTTCTTCGTCTGCTTTCTCTTTTTAAAAAATGTGTTGCTTTTTCTCATTTTTCAATGCTTGCTCTCCTTTTCCCCTTGTCTTTATGGCTTATTAGGTTTTTAATTTACTTTATTATCTTTTTTCTTTTTTCCCACTGGTACAAATGCTTTATTGAAACAAAACACATAGTACATAAAATAAGACTGAGAGAATACAGAAGTTGGTATAGCGATCAGACCAGTTCCCTGGCTGGTTGAGGCTGCCTCCGTGGGTCAGTGGAAAGCTAGACACCCAGCCAAGCCAACCCATGGAGGGCATTCATGATCTTAAGATTTGAGTCTGTGGTTCTTTTGGATTTCTACAACTATTAAATATGTGTCTGAGTGGTCTGCTTGTGTTTCTTTGTGTTTTGACAACTGGCTGGGGTAGGGGTAGGGGTGGCTTGTGCATGGTGGTTGATTTTTGCCAGGAGAGGAACATTGAATGCTGGTGAAGGTAAATGCAAATATCTCAGCCAGTTGACAGGGAGGGAGACTTTCACAAATAATGACACCCAGGAAAGAGTGTTGTGGGCTTGACCCAGGCTTGTGCTCCAGGCACTTCCAATCTCTTCACTGTAGTCATGTCCCGAGGTGAGCGAGGAGGAAATCTCCAGCTTTTCATCCTGTCCCTGAGGGCTAGCTCCAGTCTGCACTGTCTAAAGAGAGATCTGGCTGCAGTGTAGTCATCTGAAGGTAGATAAGCCTAGACAGCTCTGGTCCAGCACGGCGGGTGGTGGCTGTCACGCCTTCCCCACGGCGCACCTGTATGTCTGTAGGGACATTCTGGTGTTCTTGCTCTGAAAAACACCACCTATAAGCCTAGACCAGGAGCTGTGGGGAGGGGTAGGCGGCCACAACAACACTGGCCATTTTTAGGCTGACTCAGTTCAGCTGCTGGATCTGCCTCCTCCAGACCTGAGCAAGCCCCCTGCTAGCACGGTCCACCTTTGCCCCTCCAGCCCAGTCACTCTCCAGGCAGAAGGAGAAACTAGTTTGCTCTCAGAGTTTCTTGAAGGGCACCTCTGCCACAGCCTTTGTGAATGTGCACACAAAATCGGCCAGCTCCTTCCAGCTCTGCACAACTCGAGCCTGGGCGTGTGTGTGTAGCTGCAGATCCACCACTGCCTCCGCCATGTCCACCCTGGACACCATGGGCCCTGTGTTGGCCCCTGGTGGTCTATGTTTCTTCTTCCCCTTGGGCTGTTCTCTGTTTGTCACTCCGTTTCCTTCTCTTTGGAGGATTTGGAGCACTGAAGTATCTCTCCTGATTCACCATCACCAGTAACAGAGCTTTTCCCCTGTCCTTGCTGTGATGTTGGTTACAAAGCTCTGAAGTGTTTCCTTCCCTTTCTCGGCGCTGCCTAGACTTCACTGCTTGAAGTTGTGGGTCATGGACACAAACGCCTCTGCCAGGAGCAGCACCAGGACCATTGGCTCCTCCACCCAGCCCTCCTCTCTATCCGCAGCTGGCTCAGCCCTTCTCCAGGTGATGCTGCAGGGCACAGCCTGGGTCTCAATCACACAGCAGCACTCCATGGACTGCAGTGCTCCAAGGAGTTGGCCCCTGCCTTCCATCTGTAAAAGCACTGGATCCAGCACCACAACGATGTGTTTTAAGCATTCTTCTGGCCTCTGAGCTTCTGGCTTGTTAACCAGTGATGCCTTATTTTTCCTTTGCGGGTGTCTCAGGGTGCTTTCCTTCTGGCATCCCTGTGAGCCTCTCCTCTGGACCTTCTGACTGTGCTTGGTTCTCTTCTGAGGTAGGGGGACCTCAGTATTTGCTTTGGTTACTGTCAAACTGAAGCTCTGGAGAGGGCAGGTAGCTTGGGAGGCTGGAAGCTGATGGTATGGACTGTCTTCTAGAGGCCCTTGTTATTTGATGTTCACCTCCCTGAGGAATCACGGAGGGGAGCGTCAGGGATCTGTGGAAAGGGCTGTCTATTCCAGTCACATGATACTCCTTCATTATTTTGTTGATCCAAAATACTTTTAACTGGGGAGCTAGAGTCCTCAGGGCTCAGCTGCTTGTGGGTCGAAAACTTACATGTAAGTCTTTCAGCCAGGGGAACAAGTTCTTCCTCCTCCTCACTTCCACTGCTTAGCACTTGGACTGGCTGTGTTTGTGTGACAGTTTCAGCTGTGTCTAGGACAAGTGGTGGATCTTTCAACCTTGGTGATGGAGGACAGGAGGCTTCAGAATCTGAGGTGTCAACCACTACAATCTTCCCTTCCCTCTAAGGCTGCCTCCTGTTTGTTGAAGATGGTTCCTTCTTCAGAAAGGCAAATACTGGCAATGTCTCAGAGTCACTCTCACTGGATTCCAGAGAGAGTGATGATTTCTTTAGAGCCATCAATATGTGCTATCAAATTAATTCCCTGCAACTTCTCCCGCTGCTCTTTGAACTCTATTTTATTATCTTTTTAGTGTAGTCTCAGGAGGGGCAGATATAAACATATGTGGTAAGGATATCATCTTTAACTTTTTTTTTTTTTTTTTTTTTATCCTCACCCGAGGACATTTTTCCATTTTTTGTTCAGATAGAGCGGGAGGGAGAGAGAGGAAGAGAGAGAGAGAGAAACATCAATGTGAAGAGACACATCGAGTGGCTGCCACCCGCACGACCGACCAGGGCCGGGGACAAACTGCAACCGAAGTACGTGCCCTTAGCGGGAACCGAACCCGGGTCTCTCCGGACCGCAGGCCGGCACTCTAACCGCTGAGCCAAACCGGCCAGGGCTCATCTTTAACTTTTTATGGTTTTATGCATTGGAGTAAAGGTGGGATTAAGGTATTGCACTTAGTTTTGGGTATGTTCATGGGTAAGTTATGCATTTACACAACATCTGAAGTAAAGACAAGGTTGGAAATTACTGCTGTATAGTAGAATAATTGTATATAGCTACCTTGTTTATGTATATTCTTCATGGTAATTTGCTTACAGTTGGTATTCAATATATTTATTGAATTGAAAATATTTACACTGTAGTAGACTATTTTTTCTAAAAGTTTTGCATTCACTTCATTGCTATTTTTTGTTGAAATAGGCTCTGACGTTTATTAATCCAAACAGAAGTAAATATACAAAACTAATGTAATGAACTTCCCTTTATCACTTCCTTTCTTTTTTCAGCGTTGTAGATTGATAAACAGTTCTTTCAGAGCTCTTTGAACAATGGAACTTTCATTTAAAAAAAAAAAAAGCCTGCATTCCTTCTCTGAATTAGAGAAAACAATGTCTGTTGATCGGTTCTAGGATATATGGAACACCAGTCTAAATTATTTTCATAGAATAATACAAAGTGCCAAATTTAAACCTACACTTTATGTATGTATATATTGGCTCTTTCTGACTTGTGACATTTCATCCTTTTTTTTTTTTTTTTAAATTTAGGTAAATGGACAATGTGCTGGCCACACAGCTCTGCAAGCTGCTAGTCAGAATGGACATGTTGACATTTTAAAGTTACTTTTGAAACAAAATGTGGATGTAGAGGCAGAGGTAATTAAACTAAGCTTGAAAAATATTTTCAGTAAAAATGTCCTAGAAATGGTACTTTTGTATTATGAGATGGATTGTTTTTATTCTTGAAATTTAATATTTACCTAAGACTCTTCTGATTGAAAAGAAAAATTTGACAAAAGACAACTTGAGGCATTTCTTGTTTTTCTGTGATCCCTTAATATTCTTGGCAATAGCCCCAACTGCTGCTGGTAGCCCATTTGAGTTCACCCAATAACTATACTGGGGAAATTGAGGGAAGAGGAATAGAAATCATGTGGGTCAAGATTTTTCCTGATTGCCCTGGCCAGTTTGACTCAGCAGTTGGAGCGTCGGCCTGTGGACCAGAGAGTCCTGGATTCAATTCTCGCTAGGGGCACATACCAAAAAAACAAAACAAAAAACAGATTTTTCCTGATTTGTGACACTCAACAACCTTTGTCATATTGGTTTTTTTTTTCTCATACAGGAATCAGTATATTAGAATTTGTGTAGTCTTACTGTTTTTTTACTTTAATGTGTATCTTTGAAGATTATGCAGTGCATGTTTATCACTCTATGTGTTTATTTATGCTTAATTTAATTAAGAGTATATTCTTGTTTAAGGAAAACAAATATTTTTTATCATTGGAATTTTAGTTGAGACTCTGTATTGATCATGTGAAGGTGTGTTGTGGCTCGACAGAGTCCAAGAAAGACCACTAGAGAATTGAAGTCCAAATAAGAGTCGTTTATTAGCCCACTGGCGTCTGATTCCGAATACTCCTGTGACAGAGTCTTCGGAGATCAGCCCCAATATGCTTTATTATATGCCTTTTATACCTTACAGCAAAAGTTTAATGATAAAAGAAAATAGGATCTTCTTGATATAATACCCAGGGCTACAACAATGCTGTATAGAATTACTTTGCCTTGTGGATAACAGGAACACCCAAGAACACCCAGGCACACCCAGGTATTTCAAAGTACATTGGGTCACACTTAGCCCCAAGCTGCACAAACACAATGCAAGCCTAATTCCTTGAGATTGTTGGGGAGGTCGAGTCTCTGACTTAAGACCTCCAGGCTCCATGGACTCTGTCAGACACGTAGCCAGCTCCCAACAATTTCTTGGTTCAGGAAGTCTTTACAAAAAAGGTTCAGCTAGAGGGCACACAGTGACTTTCCCAATCATCAATTATGGAGCTATAAACAAGTCAGCACAATAATTTACCAATCATCAATTATGGAGTTATGAACATGTCAGCACAGGTGGGCTTCTTTTGTTGTAAGTAACTATACTTCATTCCTCAAAAAGATATTAAAATTACATTTCTTTCAGTCTACTGGAAGATTATTTAGGAATAAGTCAAATTCTATCAAAGTTATACTAGGCAGAATGTTGCAGTTTTGTCCAAATAACACTCCCATCTTAATGAGGACTTGAAATTCTGAGGGCTGAGTTGGTGGACCACTCTGTTTTTACTAATGAAAATCTTTTTCTTTTTTAAAATTTTTATTGATTTTTTTAAGAGAGAGAGGAAAGCCCTGGCCGGTTTGGCTCAGCGGTTAGAGCGTCGGCCTGCGGTCCAGAAAGAGAGAGAGGAAAGGAGAGAAGGAGAGAGAGAGAAACATCGGATCAGCTGCTTCCTGCATTCCCCCCCCTCCCCCAGGGATTTAGCCCGAAACCCAGGCAAATGCCCTTGAACTGGGACTTCTCAGTCCTTGGGAGATGCTCAATCCACTGAACTACATCAACTGGGCACTAATTCAAAACTTTATTTTTTTTAAATCCTCACCTGAGGGTATTTTTACATTTATCTTCAGATAGAGTGGGAGGGAAAGGAGAGAGAGACATCAGTGTGAGGGAGACACATGGATTGGTTGCCTCCTGCACACCCCAACCAGGGCCAGGGACCAAACTGCAACTGAGGTATGTGCCCTTGACTGGAATGGAACCCACGACTCTTTGGTCCATGGGCCAATGTTCTAACCGCTGAGCCAAACCAGCCAGGGCTACAGTAGCAATTAAAAAAAAACAACTTATCTTTTTTGTTGAATGTATTACAGATGTCCCCCCTTTTAGCCCCCCTTGATCCCCTCCTGCCTGTTCCCACCCTCCTCCTGCCTTCCTTACACTATTGTCTGTGTACATTGGTTATGCATATATGCATATAAGTTCTTTGGCTTATCTCTTCCCGCCCCCCTCCCCATTCCCTTTGAGGTTTGTCAGTCTAACAACCAATTTGTACTTCTTAATCCCTTCACCTTTTTCGCCCCTCCTCCCAACCCTCCCCCCCCCCCCCCCCACCGCAATCTGGCAACCAGCAGAAAGTTCTCTGTATCTATGAGTGTTTCCATTTTGCTTGTATATTCAATTGTTAATAGATATGTATTTTTTCACCATTTTAGTGTTCATATTTTTGATCTTCAGGAAGACCCTTCAACATTTTATAATACTGGTTTGGTGATGAACTCCTTTAGCTTTGTCTTGTCTGGGAAACTCTTGATGTGTCCATCAATTCTAAATGATAGCTTTACAGGATAGAGTAATCTTCACTGTGGGTCCTCGCTTTTCATCACTTTGAATATATCTTGCCCCTCCCTCTGACCAGCAAAATTTCTTTTGAGAAGTAGGCTGACAGTCTTACGGGTGCTCCCTTGTAGGTAACTAGCTGCTTTTCTCTTGCTGCTTTTAAGATTCTCTTTGTCATTAACCTTTTGCATTTTGATTATGATATGTCTTGGTGTTGGCCTCTTTGAGTTCATTTTGTTTGACACTCTCTGTGCTTCCTGAACTTGTTTGTCTGTTTCCTTCACCAAGTTAGGGAAGTTTTCTGTCATTATTTTTTTCAAATAGGTTTTCAATTTCTTGCTCTCCTCTCTCTCTCTTTTCTGGCATGCCCATGACGTGAATGTTGGTACACTTGAAGTTGTCCCTGAGGCTCCTTACTTACACTATCCTCATGTTTTTGGATTCTTTTTTCTTTTTGCTGTTCTGATTGGGTGTTTTTTGCTTCCTTATATTCCAAATTGATGGTTTGCTTCTTGGCTTCACCTACTCTATTGATTACCTATAAATTATTCTTTATTTTACTATGCATCCTTCATTTCTGACTGCACCCTTCATTTCTAACTGGTCCTTTTTTTATGCTCTTGAGGTTCTCACCAAGTTCCTTGAAATTCTCACTAAGTTCATTGAGCATCCTTATAACCAGTGTTTTGAACTCTGTATCTGTATCTGTTAGATTATCTCTATTTCATTTAGATCCTTTCCTGGAGTTTTGTTCTGTTCTTTCATTTGGGACATGTTTCTTTGTCTCCTCATTTTGGCTACCTCCTTGTGTTTGTTTCTATATATTAGATAGAGTTGCTCTGTCTCCTAGGCTTGGTAGGGTGGCCTGTTACAGTAGGTGTCTGAAGGGTCCAGTGGCACTGCCTCCCTGATCACCCGAGTTGGGCACTTGAGGTGCACCTCCCATGTGGACTATATATTCTTCTGTTGTAATTGAGTCTTTATTGCTGTTGACAGGTCAGTGGAAGGGATTTTTACTCAGGCTGATCAGCTACCAGGACTGGCTATGCCCACTGACCTGGAGGATCAATGGTGCAGGGACCCACCACACAGAGCAAGACTTATTTTAGCAGTGCTCTAGTACCCACTGAGTCCATCCACTCCTTGAGTATGTCACTTGTGGCGGTGGTTGGGTGGTGGTGCTTTGATGTGGTCTGAAGCTGTCCACTGGGTGTGCTGGCTCTGGGGCAAGATCAGCCACTGCCTGTGTTTTACCCGGGGCCACCAGGCATAAGCTACAAAGCGATCTGCAGATGGCTGCTTCTTGTGCTGTGCTTGGAGGTACCCAGGCAAAGCTAAGCTGTGAACCAAGGCTGGCTGCTTCCAGTGCCAGGCCTGGGCCACTTATTGAGAGGTGTGAGGCTCGTTGAGGCCAAATGTTGGTTGTTTGAGAGAATTTAGGAGAATCTGAAACAGGAGTCAAGACAGGGTAATCCTAGGGTAAAGCTACTGGAAATAGCTTGGGTGGGCCAGAAAGTTGGGTGGGGCAGGACCTCAAGGAATCACCAGGACAGAGCAAACAGGTTGCTGGAGTCCCAGAAATAGAACCTGTGTGCATGCCTCCTGGGGGAAGGGCTCACCAAAGGAACAAAGACCTCCGCCAGCACCTTTGTTCCAGAGAAAGTTGCCACTCCGGCTCTTGCCCAGATGCTAAACAACTCAGTTCTTCCCCATATGTCTCTGTTGCCTTTCATGCTGTCTTTTCCACTTTGGAGTCTGGAGTGAGCGAGTCTGAGTAAGTCCGTGTGCAGGCCCTTTATGAAGAGTTGCCTGGAACTCCAGCAGTCTCAGCCTTTTCAGCTTCAAATTCCCACTGGTTTTTACAGCCAGAAATTATGGGGACTTCTCTTTCTGGCATTGGAACCCTGAGCTGGGAGCCTGGTTTGGGCTAGGACCCCTTCTCAGCGAGGACCTTCACAGCTGAGGTATCACTTCTGATTTTTATCTGCGACACGTAGGTATGGGACCATCCCGTCCATCCACCCCCTTTCTACCTTTTTAATGTGTCTTCTTTAATTTTGTAGTTGTAGAACTTGCATTCAGCTTGATTTCAGGTGGTTCCAAATGATAGTTTTTCTGTAGTTTAGTTGTAATTTTGATGTGGTTGTGAGCGGCAGCAGCAAGGACCGTATTTACCTATGCTGCCATCTTGACCGGCAAGCAGTTTAAGTTTTAATATCTGCTTGAGAAAATAGGCAAAAATAAAAACTATTTTGAATTTAGCAATTATGTTGAATGAACTGTTGTTCATTTGTTTTAAATGTGTTTAATCACAACAGTACTTAACTTGTGTCAACTTGAAAAGTAGTTAAAATAATCTCAAGTAATGGATTTTCAAACCACTTGTAAAAATTAGAGTCCACCAGGGGCTAGAACCATGGGTTGGGGACCACTGGAGAAAGTCTTAGAGCTTGCTTCCTTCTGGGTGTTAAAATTTGAGATGGAGTGTGGAATAAAGACAGTACTCTTCTCCATCTGCATCTAGCGGTGTAATGAGACTTCTTTTTTGTATGGCATATATATATATATATATATATATATATATATATATATATAGTATTCCTTATGCAGGTGAGGCATTGTTTTTCCTTTAAAAACTTGTTTTTACATTTGAAGAAAATATAAGAAATTGGGTCTTTCTCTACCTCTCATCTCCTCTGAAATATGCCTATTATAGAAAGTGAGGCATACTTACTGGATTCTTCTGATATAGTTTTTGGATATAGGGAATTATGTTGGTTTGTGTTCCATTTTTATCTTTTAAAGTGGTGCTTAATAATTTGTTTCTCTTCTTGAATATACAGAAAAGTGTATGCTAACCAGCTGAAGATAACCAATGTTAATATGTTGATATATTTCTCCCTTAAAACTAATTAAGTTCATACTGTTTGGCGTCCTTCTTTTTAAAACCACTCAACTAAAGTTAGTGTTATTTTTATGTCCTTAAAAAGTCTGTAAAATTTTTAAATGGAAAAAAAGTTTATGTAGTTGTATTACATGTCAGCGTTTTCCTAATACTCGCTTACCATCATGGCCGATAAATGAGAAGTAATGAAGAATCGACCTATTTCTGATATAACTGTTGGTTCAGTATATGTCTGATATAATATACATGGGTGGGCAAAAGTAGGTTTACAGTTGTAATACAAATAATAATACAAGAATATACTCTGTGTATTGCGCACTCACAACTATAAATCTACTTTTGCCCACCCCTGTATTGACCCAGGACTCATAATTTATTTTTGGAGTTAATCTTTATTAAAGTAAACTTCTGTTTATTTTGTTGGCTCCATTCAATGTTGTTTTTTTCCTCCTCACATCAGTTTGTTTCTTGATGAATTATTATAACTTAAAGCTTTGTTTTTCTTTCTAAAATATTCACTAATTCAGATTTTAATGCTGATGTTTAGGACAAAGATGGAGATAGAGCCGTTCACCATGCGGCTTTTGGAGATGAAGGTGCTGTTATAGAAGTACTACATCGAGGTGGTGCTGATTTGAATGCTCGCAACAAACGCCGACAGACACCACTTCATATTGCTGTCAATAAAGGTCATCTTCAAGTTGTGAAGACTTTGTTGGACTTTGGTTGTCATCCCAGTCTTCAGGTAAAACCTTTAAAGAAATATTTCTGTAGGTATTGTTAGGATCCTATTAAAGGGAAGTACCAGCTTCAGTGGTAAGCATTCCTTTGTTACAATTCTTTTTTACATGGTGAGTCATAGTAAGTGATACCAAAGGTATAGAATGTAATAAAATTGGCAGCTGTTCCTTCTTAGAAAAACCTTTTTTAAGGAAATGCCAAGTAGATCTGTTTTATATTGAGGGGTGGGGATAATGATTTTCTTGCAAAAATATCAGTTTTTAAATTAACTTTATTGATCATGACGTTGGGCTTCAGCACCTTAAAGAAGTGTAATGGGCTGCATTTCATAATAGTTACATAGCTATCTAAATTATTTTAGTTGACTTATGTATTTTTTTAAAATATGTTTTATTGATTTTTTTTTTTTTTTTAGAGAAGAGGGGAGAGAGAAACATCGATCAGCTGCCTCCTGCATGCCTCCTGCATGCCTCCTACTGGGGATCGAGCCTGCAACCTGGGCATGTACCCTGACTGGGAATAGAACCGGGACCTCTCAGTCCTTGGGACAATGCCCAGTCCACTGAGCCACATTAACCAGGCAGTTATAGCCTTATGTATTTTAAGAGTCTTGGTTAGTCACTAGTCTAGTCTTAGATAATTTTCTGTTTTGGGAAATATATAGGGTTTTAGGATTTATTTATTTTGGTAGGATCTACTTTTTGAAGCAAGGAGGCACCTAAGAAATGATTATTCCCATCCAAAATTTTAGCAACCAGATAAAGTAAATTGGTCTCAGAGAGAAATAGTGTAGGTAGAAGAACATAAGAAATGGGACTGAAGTTTTCAGAAGAATTGAGAGAATCAGAGATTTGTTCAGCTAGATGGTTATTACAGACTAATGTTTCTGAGATACACCCATTTTATTTTATTTTTTATCTTCACCTGAGGACATTTTTTGTTCAGATAGAGTGGGAAGGAGAGAGAGGAAGAGAGAGAAAGAGAGAAACATTGACGTGAAAGGGACACATCGACTGGCTGCCACCCCCACGACCAACCAGGGCTGGGGAAAAACTGCAACCGAGGTACGCGCCCTTAGCGGGAACTGAACCCGGGTCTCTCTGGACCACAGGCCGATGCTCTAACCGCTAAGCCAAACCGGCCAGGCCTGAGATACACCCATTTTAGAACTGGCCGCTTCTAAGTGGATGGAAGGATTAGAAGATGGGGGAGGCATTGGGAGGTGTTAATCTGTCAAAGACGTATGGACTTTATACCTGCTGACTTTTTTTTTTATCTTCACCCGAGGATATTTTTCCACAGATTTTTAGATAGAGTGGAAGGTGGAAAGGAGGGAGGGGGAGAGAGCATGAAAGAGGGAGAGAAAATGAGAGAGGGAGAGAGAAAAATATCAATGTGAGAGAGACACGTCAATTGATTGCTTCTTGCATGACCCCAACAGGGGCCAGGGATCAAATCTGCAACCCAGGTACATGCCCTTGACTGGGAATCAAACCCGAGACCCTTTGGTCCTTGAGCTCATGCTCTAACTGTTGAGCCAAACCGGACAGGGTTTTGTTTTTGTTTTTTTTTGGTCTGAAATGGGAGGCAAAGTTATTGGTTGAGAGTAAGTGGGGAATGGTCGGTATAGAAAGGGTAATTGAGAAGAATGATGAAGGTTGGGGAGCTACTGTGGGGAGCAAAAGGCAGGACAGATCAGGGTCTGTAGAAGTTTATTCCAACCAGGTTAAGAACCCATCTCATGTTGGAGACCATGATTTTTTAGTTCTATAGGAGGATAGGAGGTGGATTGTTGGACTGAATTTGTGTTAGGAATTTCTTATGTGGGTGGATGAATTTCTTATATGCCTAGGATTGGCTAATTTTTTTCTGTGAAAGGCCAGGTAAGCCCTGGCTGGTGTGGCTCAGTTAGCTGGGCATCATCCAGTGCACCAAGATAATTGCTGGTTTGATTCCTTGTCATGCACATGCCCCGTTTCGGGCTCAATCCCCAGTATTGGGGATGCAGGAGGCAGCTGATAGATATTCTGCTCTCATATCGATGTTTCTTTCTCTTTCTCCCTTTCCCTTCCTCTCTCTAAAATTCAATTTAAAAAAAAAAAGGCCAGGTAATATTTTTGACTTTCATGTGATTTCTGTTACAATTATCTAATGCTGCCATTGTAGCATGAAAGCAGCCATAGATAATACATAAATGCATGTATGTGGCTGTGTAAACAAAACTACAAAAATAGGGGGCAGGCTGGATTTGGCAACTGTGGTATATGTCCTAGGTTAGACTATATATAGGTTTACTAAAAATAGTATTTATGAAACTATGAAATGAATGAAGTCTGAATTACCCATTTATGCATAGGACTGATAATGAATAACAACTTATAGCTAAATTTGTTGATTAATGAAGAAAGTAATCAGTTTGAAAAAAAGATAGACTGAAACTGCCAAATTTTCTTTTACATTTGTTTTCACTTTGAGTTAACTAGTCTCTTTCCTGTTCCTTGAAAACATTTAGAGTAATGATTCTCAACCATGACTGTACAATATATTCAGCTGGGGAACTCTGAAAAATTCTGATGCCTGGATCCCATTCCCAGAGATTCCGGGTTAAGTAATCTGAAGAACAGCCTGGGTAACAGGATTTTAAGACCTTCCCAGTGGATTCTAAGTGCAGCCAGGGTTGAGAACCACTGATTTTCAGTTCATTGCTTTGAATTGAGTATAGGTATAGGTTTGGTATGGAGTTTGAGGGTACAAAAATTTTTGGTAGGAATATGGTATAACAAGCCATTTTTTTATTTAGTTATTTAAAAATATTTTTTTAAATTTATTTTAGAGAGGAAGGGGGAGGGAGGGAGGGAGAGGGGGAGAGAGAGAGAGAGAGAGAGAGAGAGAGAGAGAGAGAGAAAGAAAGAAAGAAAGAAAGAGAAAGAGAGAAATCAGCTGCCTCCTTCAATCCCCTACTGGGGATTGAGCCCGCAACCCAGGCATGTGCTCTGACCAGGAATTGAACCTGTCCTCTTCTGGTGCATGGGATGATGCTCAACCAACTAAGCCACACTGGCTAGGGCCAAGCCATTTTAAACTAATGAATTTTTTGGCCGCTTTTCCACCTCATTTATTTCTGTTTCATTATTTTCAGGGTATTTAATTTCTTTGATTTTATTTTTCCTTTGGAAAGCTATAGCATGTTTATTGTGCTTTGCCATCTAGATTGGGTATAAGTTTATTTACTCTAATGCTGTTTCTTGCCTGCATTTATTAAATTTAACACATAGTATGTTTTATTGATGGTTATTGTATATGTTTTTGTTTCTTTATTCAGTAGTTCATTATAAATATTAATAATTATATGCGATGATTGACTGAAACAGAACTAATGAAAATCTTTTTAAACTGAAAAAAAAAAAAAAAAGGATTCTGAAGGTGATACCCCTCTTCATGATGCAATAAGTAAGAAACGTGATGATATCCTGGCAGTCCTTCTGGAAGCTGGAGCAGATGTTACCATTACAAACAATAATGGGTTTAATGCTCTGCACCATGCTGCACTAAGGGGCAATCCCAGGTAAAGATGTCACCTTTCACTATTTTATATGCAATTTAAAAACATTTTTTTGTATCTTTTTTTGATACTGATAAGAAAATTTTGGCTTATTTTAGTATTTTGAATCATTTTAAGGTCTGTGGAAATTATGTCTTCATTAAATAGATTAATTTTATAGTGAGTTTTTGGGTTGTTAGACTAGTAAAGTATTATGAAATGGCTATTTAAATATATATTCAATATGGATATAAAATATCAGAATTACTCATATTGTAAAGTTTTAATTAGAATGCAATGCATTTTGAGATTTATGTTTCTTCAAGACCATTCTCAGGGTGTCCTCTAAACTAATGTTTAATCCATTTGCATGGTAATTATTTTTTAAACTTGTGGCTAAATAACTGGTAATTTACTTATTGCTTATTAATAATGTAATTAATTATATAAATTATTAATATAGATGTTCTGCAACCATAGTTTTAATTATAGGTGGTCTCCTGGGAAAAAAAATTTGTGCTGGTTCAAGTTTGAGAAAGACTTGGAAAGTCACAGAATTCGTAAAATATTTTCCTAGTCCCACAGAAAAAGAAAATGCTTAACTTTGCTTTAAGCTAGAACTTTTTTGTAGAGAGAGGAAGGGAGAGGGAGAGAAACGTCTATTGGCTGCCTCTTGCATGCCCCCGACTGGGGAACCTGCAACCTGGGTATGTGCCCTGATTGGGAATCAAACCAGCAACGTTTTGGTGTATGGAATGATGCTCATTCAACTGAGCCACACCTGCCAGGGCAACCTAGAACTTTAATGATTGAATTTTGGGGAACAACTTTACCTGAGAGGCATTTTATTTATTTTATTTTTTAAATTCCCACCTGAAGATATGTTTTACTGATTTTAGAGAGAGGGAAAGGGAGAGACAGAGAGAGAGAGAGAAAGAGAAAGAAACATCAGTGTATGAGAGCAACATTGATTGATTGCTTCCCATAAACACCCCCACTGGGGATCAAACCTGAAACCTAGGTATGTGCCCTGACCTGGAATGCAACCAGCAACCTTCCAGGGTATGAGATGATGCTCCAACCAATCTAGCCACACTGGCCAGGGCCCGGAGAAGCATTTTAGAAAATTCTGCATCAGATGTCTTCTGTTATAGTTGTATAAAGTCTACACATCTTTTTTTTTTTTTTTCCTAATCTTCACTGAGGACATTTTTGCATCCATCTTCAGACAGAGTGGGAGGGAGAGAGGGAGGAAGAGAGAGAGAGACACACATTGACTGGTTGCCACCCACACAACCCCAACCGGGGCCGGTGACAAACTACAACCAAAGTACGAGCCCTTAGTGGGAACTGAACCCAGGACTGTGGTTCGCGGGCTGATGCTCTAACTGCTTTGCTAAACCGGCCAGGGCTTTTTTTTAATTTAATTTTTTTTAATTAAAAGTTTTCATTCAGTATTATTTTTTATTAGTTTCAGGTATACAACATAGTGGATAGATTATAAACTTTATAAAGTGTTCTCAATATTTCCAGTACCCAACTGGCACCATACATAGTTATTACAGTCTTATTGATTATATTATCTGTGCTGTATTCTACATCCCCATGACTGTTTCTTTTTATTTTTTTATTTATTTTTATTTTTATTTTTTATCCTCACCCGAGGACATTTTTCCATTTTTTGTACAGATAGAGTGGGAGGGAGAGAGAGAGGAAGGGAGAGAGAGAGAGAAACATCGACGTGAAGGGACACATCGAGTGGCTGCCACCCGCACGACCAACCAGGGCCGGGGACAAACTGCAACCGAAGTACGTGCCCTTAGCGGGAACCGAACCCCGGTCTCTCCGGACCGCAGGCCAACGCTTTAACCGCTGAGCCAAACTGGCCAGGGCTCCCCATGACTGTTTTGTAACTACCAACTTGTACTTCTCAATCCCTTCACCTTTTTCACCCAGTCCTCCATATCCCTTTTCCTCTGACAGCCGTCAGTCTGTTCTCTGTATCTATGAATCTGTTTCTGTTTTGTTTGTTCATTTATATTGTTCTTTAGAGTCCACATATAAATGAAATTATATAGTATTTATCTTTCTCTGACTGACTTATTTCACTTAGCATAATACACTCTAGATCCATCCATGCTCTTTCAAATGAGCCTAATTTGAAATGAGCCTCAGTTTTGACTGAGGGAGATGTTTACTTTGAAGTTTATTTTGATCATTTAATCTATTTTGACTTTGTTTTTAATTGAGATATAATTGATGTATAACAGATTAGTTTTAGGTGTATAACATAGTGATTATATATATATATATGTATATATTATGAAATGATCACCCCTATAGGTCTGGTTATTATCCATCACCACACGTAGTTACAAGTTCTTTTCTTGTGATAAAGACTTTTAAGATCTCTTCTCTTAGCAACTTCCAAATATACAGAACAGTATTATAACTATACCTGGGCTTGGTATAGTCACCATGAAATCTTATTGTTTAGTACCATACTGTGTTTTTACAACCTGTTTTTGTCTAATTTTTTGCTATTTTTTATTCATTTAGCATTTTTAGGATCACCACTAGAGGGTGAGCACAGAGAACAAAAGAATTGTGTTGGTATTGCTTGTTGGTATCCATAATGATGAATATATAATGTAGGATGAAATAAATGGCTGTATTTTAGATTATGTCTTGATTTATTTTTTTCAAATTACATATATTCAAACATTTCATCCTTTGACATTTTGAAGGAGATAAAATAGTATTATATGTTTCCTGCCTTTAAAATAGAAGATAATGATGATTATAGCACTTACCGAATACCAGGCCTTTACTAAATGATTTACATGCATCTCATTTAATTATTTGAACAGCCTTTTGAGGCAGGTTTTAATATCCTCATTTTATACAGGAAGAATAAGAGGCTTATAAAGAACGAATTTGCTTGCCCTGGCCGGTTTGGCTCAGCGGTTAGAGCGTCGGCCTGCGGTCCTGAGAGACCCGGGTTCGGTTTCCGCTAAGGGCACGTACCTCGGTTGCAGTTTGTCCCCGGCCCTGGTCGGTTGTGCGGGTGGCAGCCACTCGATGTGTTCCTTTCACATCGATGTTTCTCTCTCTCTCTCTGTTCCTCTCTCTCCCTCCCACTCTACCTGAACAAAAAATGGAAAAATGTCCTCGGGTGAGGATAAAAAAAAAAAAAGAACGAATTTGCTTATTCAAGATCATGCACTTACTAGTGGAGTAGCTGGAACTTGAACAAGGTCTGTCTGACTTTGGACTCGTAGCTTTTAACCACTTCATATTACTTTTTCTGTATTATGGGCTATATATAAGGCAAAACTGAAACATATGGACAGTGAATTATTTAAGAATGTATTAATATGTCAGTCTCTTTGCTGCCTCTTTGATTACGGTTAACTTTGACTACTCTGTTACTAATTCTGAACTTCCAATTAGTTCTAAAGTTTTCTTTATTCTACAGGTCTTTACAACCCATTCCATTCCTTCTATTTTCATTGTTGACCTAATTAATTATTGACCAATTTTACATGGACTATTACAGTATCTTTCTAATTTTTCTCCCTGATTTCATGACAGCTTTCATGTAACTACCAAATTATCATTCTAAAAACATAGATTGAGCCTGGCCATGTAGTTTAGTGGTTTGAGCTTTGTCCCATGGACTGAGAGGTCCTGATTCGATTCCCAGTCAGTGCATATGCCTGGATTGTGGGCTCAATCCCCAGTAGAGAGCGTGCAGGATGTTTCTCTCTCACATCAATGTTTCTATCTCTCTCTCCTTCCTCTTTCTCTAAAAAAAGAATATTAAAAAAACCCCACATAGATCAAATGACTCCCTTCTCCTGTTCCCAAATCTTTAGTTGCTTTCTATTGTACATAGAATAAACTCTGTACACCTTAACTTGGCATTCAAACACATTTTCATTGTGTCCTGAGTCTTTCTGACTTGATCTCCCACTAAATAAAGGCCCTCTGCCCACCTGACGCTTCAGCTACATTGCACTACTCACCTTTCCTAAGATGGTCTGTCTGATTTCTTCCTTTATTTACTTAAGCATTTTTTCTTTCATCAGGATGCCCTTATCTCTCTCTCTTTTTTATAATCCTCACTTGAGAATATTTTCACATTTATCTTCAGATAGAGTTGGAGGTGGGGAGAGATATTGATGTGAGAGAGACACATCTATTGGTTGCCTCCCACACAACCCACAGGGGCTGGGGACTGAACCCAAGCCCAGGTACGTGCCCTTGACTGGAATCAAACACATGACTCTTTGGTGTGTGGGCTGATGCGCTAACTGCTGAAACCAGCCAGGGCCTTATCCCTCTTCTTTATCTTAACCATCTTTCTTCCAGAACTCCTATATTTCATCATTGAAACTATTTTCTGTTTGCCCTATACTTCTTGTTCTGTGTTCTTATTTTATTGCCCTAATAATCTGCTTTGTGCTATCCCTTAATATGTGCATTTTTATGTTCCTTTCTGTTAAAGTTGTGGGCACTTATATTCATCTGTGTGTTCCCCACAATGCCTTGCCTATAGTAGGGACTTGGTAAATGTTACTTTATTTTTTTATTGTTTTATTTTTTTATCTTCACCTGAGGACATTTTTCCATTTATGTTTAGATAGAGTGGGAGGAGAGAGAGGAACAGAGAGAGAGAAACATCTATGTGAAAGGGACACATTGAGTGGCTGCCTCTCGCACGACCCCAACCAGGGCAGGGATGAATTGCAACCGAGGTACATGCCCTTGACCAGAATCGAACCCACGACTCATTGGTCTGTGGGACAATGCTCTAACCGCTGAGCCAAACTGGCCAGGGCTCAGTAAATGTTACTTACAAGAATTTTTTTTTAAAATATGTTTTTATTGATTTTTTTAGAGAGAGAGGAAGGGGGAGAGAGATAGAAACATCGATGTGAGAGAGAAACATCAATGGGCTGTGTCCTGCACGCCCCTCACTGGGGATCAAGCCTGCAATCCAGGCATGTGCCCTAACCAGGAATCAAATTGGGACCTCTCAGTCCATGGGAGGAAGCTCAGTCCACTGAACCACACTAGCTGAGCAGTAAATGTTACTCTTAATTTGACAGGACAGTGTTAGATATCACTAGAGTTTATACGATCAGTTACAAAATAAATTCTGTAGTGAAACTATTTTCTTGTTAGCACTAAGGTAACTTCACAGGCATTTATTTATTTATTTGTTCCCACAAAGACATGTACTAAATATTACTGAATATGTGAGCAACTCATATTTTCCCTGTAGAATGTTATGATACCTTTATTTAACTTTTAAAATTCTAAGACTGTTGAATATAGAAAGATTTGATAATCTGGACCATATATTGGTGTTTAATGGTTTTCTTATAAACTGTAAGCATGCTGAGTTCTATACATAAAGAGTAGCTGAGAGACTATCAAATGGTACTATACTTATACTGTGTCCATTTTCTCTCATGTGTGTCCATGCATCTACTCTGAAACACTATGTGCCTTGTAATACATAAATCTATTTAATGTAAATCACAGGTGTAATTAATACAAGTAGGAAGGCCTGTTAACTTGAATGAAGTGATAAGATTAATTTACATATACCTTCTTTTGCCCACATTCTTTTAGGGGATGATCATTGCTTTGAAATAGAGGAGTGGTTAGGAGTTGAGGATTGTGTGATCATCTAGGTTTTTAAACTACTACTTGCCCTCAGTAACCCCTTCATTAATTGCTGAAATGTTTGTCTTTATTAAAAAACATTGTATTATCTATAGTTTTATTGCAGTCAAAAAGAAAGTTAGAGGATGTTGAATCACTTGTCATTTTCCTCTTCCTTCATTTTCTTTCTTTTGAGAGAGACCAGCTTGTTGTGTGTATATATGTATTTTGAAGGCAAAGAACACAGAAAGAGTGAGGAGAGTCATCGAATGTTATTAGAAGAGTTCTTCATTTTACAACTGAGGAAACAAGCATGGAGAGGTGAAATATCTATAGAGTAAAAGGCAGCAGTGCTTAGCATTTTCTTTCGTTTTTAAGGATTAAGAACTTTTGGTTCAGGGTTGGAAAAATTAGATACTGTTTGTCTCTTCATAAGATAGTCTTCAATATTGTCATCTTTTTCACCTTACCTATCAATGTTCAGGTAAATAGCAGTAAAATTAAATGCTAATACTAACCCAACATATCTAGAGTGTTTTTTTATGTATGTTATGTTTTTCATTAATTTAAAATTTGTCCATGTGAACCATAGTGTGGCATTCCTATTACGGTTTCAGGTGATCTTCCCAGATATTTTCTTCCTCTGAAGGAAGTTCTTTTAAATTATTATTATGCAGCATAGCCTACATTTCATTACCATTTCCTTTCCAGAAGGTAAGAAATTTAACACCAAAAGACCATAAATAAGTAAAATTATTTTATTTGTAATCCTTAAGTCACCCACACATTTTTCATAAAGCTTTTTTATAAACATCGTTAACCACTATGGTTCTTACAAGAAGAATTAACAGTAGCAATTAAAAAAAATTTAAAGCACAGTCTGAATATAAATTAGTTGACATGTCTGATACTCATAAATGAAAATGGCTCTGTCTTGTAGTAATCAATGCATAGCTACAGCTGGTTGAAGGGGACCAAATCCATTGAAGAGGCGATTTGGTTCCATTTTACCAGCTCTAGCAAAGCATTGCAATGCTGCTGGTTTGGGTTTCAAAACAGTAAAAAATGCTTTTTATCTGTAAAATTATGGTTATGGACCTTCCATAAATGTTAGATTCTCATATTAGTACTTCAGTCATTGAATGTAAAATGATCTATTTTAAAGGCACTTTCCTACTATTTTCTGCTCTGTAAGTGCAGAAGTCTTTACCCTTCAACATGTTGTTAATGCATTAAGGAATTATCATTGTGCATCTTTATTTTTAACACCTTTACTTAATTTTTAAATGTAGACAATAATGTGTTTCAGAACCAACAATGTTTAAAGGAACACATAGATTTTGATGCATATCAGAGTAATGTTTTATATTTATCTCTAGGCAGTAAACCAAGTAAGTAACCTAACAGGTTAGGAAAGAGTACTGCTAGTCACACATTTCTATTGGCCCTGCTGTTTTGGTTTTTTTTTGTTTGTTTTTTAATTCTCACCTGAGGAAGGAAGGGAGAGAAGGAGGAAGTACATAAATTGGTTGCCTCACGTAGGCACCCTGACTGGGGATCAAACCTGCAACCTAGGTATGTGCCCTGACTGGGGATCAAACCTACGACCTTCTTGTGTATAGGATAATGTTCCAACCAACTGAGCCACACTGGCCAGGGCCCCCGGCTGTTTTTAGAATTATATATACTTGAGGACTAATAGCAAGTTACTGACCAGGGGTAGAGGAATATGAGTGACCTTAAGAAAGTACCTCTGCCCTTTGGTTTATAAATAGATTGCATGTGTATTCAAGTGTATTGCTTGGATTTGTGTTAAAAGGAACTACCATGCATGCCAGCTTATTTTTCTTTGTTTTTTACTTATATAGTATTTCTAATCATAGGTTATTAATTTAACCTTTTTAAATGTCTGTTTCCTTGAGTAAATTCTCTGTACAGATTGCCTAGTTACTCCTCATTATCAGTTTAATAATACATTGAATTGTGGTGGTTAGCTATAATCCATGAATTTGAGTATTAAAATCTACCATTAACACTCAATACAGAAAATTTTTGTTATAAAGTGATTTCATTGTTACATTTCAATATCACGAAGGGAAGTCTTCTGAAATGTACTTGATTAAAATAAAAGTTTGAGAAATAATAGTTCACCTGTAAAAGTAAGTGCTCTCAGTGAAGTATAAAGAGTAAAGAAATACTGTTCTGAACTAAACTGGGAGAAGGTGAACACTAATTCAGGCAATATTCAAATAATTCTCATATTAAGTATATTCTGCATCTGTTGGTTAGTACATATTCTGCTGGTGAAATAAATGTAACTACAATTTTTCCATCTTTTATTCTAATAGAAGTAAAACAGGTGTTAAATTGCCTGGACTTAAGTGCTGAAGATAGCAGTAAAACTGACTTCTATTTTTACTAGTTATATGGGAGCTGTTGAGCAGATCTAGTTGCTCAAGTGTGGTTTTGGATGGCAGTTCAGTTTCATATACTGGCCATATCGGGGCAAGGAGAGGCCATGGAAAAAAAATAGTACAGCATTTGATAATGTCAGCATCTGTTATCCCTGTCAGAGAGACAGTTGAAATGTTTGAGTTACACCAGTGTCAGCAGATGCCCAGAGTTTAATATGTACTCAGTTAAAAACTAACAGCTGACCTAAGTGATGAATGTGACATTTTAGAGTGATTGAAAATACTTTTAGATATGTTAAGTTAAACTTGTAAGCACTAGAATCAGTAATTTTACTTTTTAAAATGAATAATAGATGCTGTCATTTTATTTTCTAAGGATTACACATTCTCTTAGTATTATAGTCACAAGATTCTCAGTTCCTGAGATGTTTTAAATTAATTAAAAACTTTTATGCCTATAGAATAACAAGTATAATTGCTCATTATAAAACATGGGTATAGTAATACCCTTTGAATAGTTTTATAGAGGAATCTTTACTTTTGAGGTATATATTTTCAGTGTTTGGTATTTAGGGCATGTACAGTCAAATGGAATATTAAGCATTGCCATTCTATTTGTGGATGATCAGAAAGAAGGGCTATGCTTAAGTGTAAGCTTTGAACTATTTTTTTCTTTGAAATACAAAATTTTAAAATTACGATCTTTTTATAATTTCCAATAAACATGCAATAGCTTATATGCTGTCATATCTAATAAAGTCACTCTCAAAGTCATTTTAATATGATAAAATGAAAATCACCTTTTGACAGTTAACTGCCTAGTTGTCTTATTAAACAGAGAAAATTATAATTAACCTTATAGCTATTTCTATTAACTTATGGCATACAAATTTTAAAATATTATTATGTTTTTTGCTAATGTCTAAATATTCCAGTTGAAATAAAAATTATTAGATTAATATTTCTTTTTATGTAAGTCTATCTTAGTAGCTAAAATAGATACTGCTTATAAATTGTTGAGCTTAATTATTTATAATTTTTATTAATATATAAATATAATACAAAATAAATTTTATATAAAATACAGAAGTATTTTGATATCTAACATACAGAAAATAGTGGGCTCATCATGTTTATAAAAATTGACTTGTAATTACATAGTACAATTAAAAAAAGCTTGTTCTGTCTGTGTAAATTGGTTTCTTGACTATAGTGTTTTCATTTTGTGTGCCACCTTTGGATAAAACAAATTCAAGGATAATACAAATAGTAAGTTAATTTCTTTTAAATATTTGGCAGTCTGTTACCAGTGTGCCCTGTTGGCTTACAGCCGTGGCCCAGAATTTTGTCATTTTTCTTGCATAAATCTTATATTTTAATTTATTCTAAGTACTAACTTAGCATAAGGACCTCATAAATTTGAGAAAGATAAGGACCACTTTTTTTTTTCCTGTGAGAGTAGAATTTTACTTAAAGTATTGTATTTTAAAATTGTGACTATGTCTGTAGCTTTCAAAAAAGAAAACCTAAAACAATAGAACTTGCTTCAGGAATTCCTCTAATATTATTAAATTATAAATTTATAAAAATAGAAGAATAGCTGTTAAAAATGTAAATGAAATCAGCTTTTGTTGTTTCTTGTATTTCTTAACAAATCAGTTAACCCTACTAATGTGATATACTTAAATTAAGATGAAATTGTGGAAAAAGCTCTCATTCTTTGGTGCTAGTAATACTGGGTTTTTTGGTATTCAAATTTTAATCATGTCAGTACTCGATTTAAAAATATATTGTATTTTAAATGTAAAAGATTTAAAAGAAGTTTCATGATAATTTTAAATCTACTTCAGTAAAGCTTTTCTTCACAAAATAAAAATTTTAGTGACATTTAGTTTTCATCTATAAGTAGTAGGTACATTTTATGATATTATTTCTAAAGGTCATCTCTTTGATTCTAAGTTAATATACTATATGAAGGTCATTCACATAGAAAGAAGCAAGGGCTTCTTTTAGCTGCAGTTTATTTCCCTCTTGGTGATTTATTGCCTACCAAAAATACATACTTCTTTACATTCCATAGCATTGTATGTTCATATGGGTACATAAAGAAGTATGTACTCTGAGTAGGTATTACTAAGTTGTTAGCTGTAAAAACATGAAATGTTTTATTTTCCCATTTGTTAGTAAAACATTCAATTTACTGATGTAGAGCAATGGTAGATCATTTGCCGAGACTATCAAAGACTAAAATTTACCTGAAGCATTGCATTAGTGCCATTTATGGTTCCTTGTTGGTGGACATACACTTCTAAACATTAACCAGTTATCTGCTGAACTTTGTCCTGGTTTGGTCCTTTTTGCAATAGATTTATAGAATCAGTGGAGTTTTACAGAGTGTATTTCAGAAATGGATAAGATCAGCCTGTTATTTCTTCAGAGTCTTCGGAGTGAATTTCTTTTGATTTTGTAGTTTGCTTCTAGATCCTGCAAGTAGATAGTAATTAATGTTACAGATTCTTTTTTACAAACTAGATACCTTATTAAAAACGTAACCAATTAGTACTTCTGATTTTGAGCCTGAAGTTGAAATGGCAATGAGAGAAATTACATCCTTTTAGAGTATGAGTAAACTGATTTTTTTTATTTAAAAAAATTTTTTTTTTAGCCCTGGCCGGTTTGGCTCAGCAGTTGGAGCGTCGGCCTGTGGACCAGAGAGTCCCAGGTTCGGTTCCCGCTAGGGGCATGTACCAAAAAATAAAATAAAGTTAACAATATTTAAAAAAAAAAAAATTTTTTTTAAATTAATTTTTTAGAGAGAGGGAGGGAGAGGGAGGTTGGGGTAGGGCAGAGAGACATCGATTGGTTGCCTCCTGCACGTGCCTGACCCGGAATCAAACTGCAACCTAGGCATATGCTGTGACGAGGAATCAAACCCGCCACGTTTTGGTATACAGCACTATACTCCAATGAACTGAGCCACATTGGCCAGGGCTAAATTGAATTTTTAAAGATGATGAATTTTTTTTAAAGATGATGAATTTTTTGTTAGTTTTTTTTTTTTTAAGGTTACAGATAAAAACTCATGATCACTTGAAAATCTCTTTCTTGTTCCTTTTGTCTTCATTAGTTACTAATTTGAACTTTATATTTTAGTTATTCTCCTTGGGTTAAATACAAACTCAAACAGATGTATATAAATATTTAATTTTGGTGAGTTTAGCTAATTTGATTATTTTTTTAATATAAAAGATAACTATCAGAACAGTTAACTTTTCCAAAGTCTTGCTTAAAATAACTGAAAGGTAGGAACACTGGGTTTTAGTTTAATCATTTATCATTAGAAGAAATAATAGTTGGTGAGTTGTCTTTAATTATTGTGGTAGTAAATAGTTAATTTAAAAGAAGACTCTTAACAAATTTTTAGATTTGGGAAAGAAGGGGAAAAAATGCAGGGAGAGAATTTCTACAGCCTGTGATAAAAAGCTAGTGCAGCTCAGACAGCAGATTAGAATATAGCAGGAGACAGGCCAGTACTGCAGCAGTTTCAGCATTGCAGCATTAGAATGTCACCATGCACATTCTGATTTATTTTGGTGGCCAACTCAGAGTAAATATTAAAAAGTATTTTGTGTTCTGCCAAGTTTCTTGGTTGACTAAACCTTGAAATAGTTAATAGTTTTTAAAAGATAGCATACTTTGGAAGCAAGGTGTAATTTACTAGGGATGCAAAGTCATGTATTCTGAAACAATAAAAGACTAAATCTTTAATAATATAAATGACAAATAATTGATTTATACATTTTTGAAATCAGATTTATCTGCCATGATATTTGAACAACATTTCCTTTTATAATACATAAGCTCTCTACTTGAACTGTGAAATTAGGCTATGCCCAGATAGAATTTAGCTTAACAATAAAAACATATATCGAGTCAATAATAGGTAAGCATGCAGAAAGTCATAAGCATCCTTAAAAGTACAGGCCTTGTGGTGCTCTGTTACCTTTAAGCTTAGTGTCTTGCAGCATTTGTAGCAGGAAGAGAAATAATGACCTAGAGAGTCACATCAGCAGCAGCCATCTCATCTTGATTGTTCCTTCACTCTACCTGCTGATTCAGCATTTCTTTTCTTCATGAGCCGATGAAGTATATTAGTGAACACAGAATCTCACCTTTTAAGATAAATTTGAAAAACAATTGAACAAACAAAAATGAATCAGCCATCTTTCCCCTCTTCCTTCCTTTATCCTAAAAAGAAAAAAAGAAAAACCTCGGTAACATTGAGTCAACATTGGCTTTTTGAATTGGAATGTTATATTACCAGTATTGCATAGATATGAGTACCTTGTATCTGCTGTACAGAAAGTTAAGCAATCAAGGAAGGTTGCTACAACATCCAAGATACTGAAACTCGCTTATTTCGCAGATGAAATGCTTTGGAAAAGGGGGAAAAGTTGCAGAGCAAGTTAATTTTATAATCTAAAAAAGCTGAAAAGCCAAAAAACAGAACACACTTTACTCTCCCAACTAACTATAAACATTCACACTGTTTTCCTTTGCCCACCAGAATACACTAGGTTCTTCTACTTCTTAGGAAATAATTCTGCATCTTTCTTGCTGTGAGATTTTTTTTTTGGTTTTTAGTTTCCAGGATTAAATGGTAAATCTGTATTGAAGCTACCTTGTCATATCCAGAGGTCAAGTCTGCAAGCAAGGTCAGGATTTCCACATGGTCACTACAGAGGTTAACTTAAATTCTTCCCTCAGTGGCCACAGGCTAAACTGTTACAGCTTTATAGGCAGCTAAGCATTTGAAACATGCACTCCCAGGCAAACAGGCTCTCTTGTGCCTCTCTCTTCCCTGACCATATTTAGTCAACCATAGCAAAAAATAGTCTCTCAGCTGTCGATTGTCGATCCAAAAGCTGAGGAAGCCTCTATCTTGCTTTCTGCCTATTGATTGTTCATCCTGTGGTCCAAACACTGCTTTGCCATTTGTCCTGCCTTTTTTTTTTTTTTTTTTTTTTTTAAAGCACTGCCAAATAAAGCGGTCTCTCATGTTTCCACTTACATTTCCCAGATTTTCACTGAGCTTGCGCTTAGACTAGGAAAGCCTGATGCGGCTGTCACTATACTTAGAAGCACTGCAGAGAAAATAGGAAAGAGGAAAAATATTACCCTAGCAAGTAGCAAAGCAGTCTTTAGACAGATATAGAATAAGTAGAATATTTCTGCTCTCAAATTATATTTTATAACCTGAATTTTTGTTGGTTAAAAATATTATGGATAATGATATTTTGCATAGCTAGAAGCCTGAAGGGATTTTGCAGTGTTATCTCTAGAGCTAGTTGTTGCTATACATGCTTTTTAAATTTAGTGAATACTATTTGAATGGAAAATAATTAGAAATGGAAGTAGGACCTGTATATTGAAAGTGGAGAAAGATCATTAAGGAAGAAGAGAGTAGTGTGTAAAGGAAATCTTGGAAATTCTACTTAAAACTTTTAATTTAGTGGCAATTTTAGTTAATTTTTTTGTAGTGCTTATATGAAAAACAGGGTCAGGAATGCTTTTGAGTAATTGTGAACTTCTATATTGAAACCATATAACTATAGACATGCATTTTATTATTAATTAAATTCTGTTTAATTTTCAAATGTGAAGTGGTGTTTCCCTTCTACATCACCATTTCTCTTTAATTTTTTGCAATAGTATTTAGGCATGATAATACCTAAAATAGTTAATGACCTATTTATAACTTTGGCACATAGTGTATGTCTCAAAGGAAAAATGCTTTTGCTCTAAATTTTAATATCATATACACAATGACTTTTAACATTGAAGTTTATTTTTTAACCAAGGGGGGGATATTAAAACATCAAATTTAACAAACCTGTGGAGATAAAATTATTAAGATCTTACAAACCTAAAAATGTACAGGAGAAACTACTATACCTTGTTCTTAATTTTAAATATATTATCTTAAGTATTGATTCAGTTAAGAATCAAGAAAAACCATTATCAGTTTTCTTAGCTCATTCTCTTACAAGAGAAGTTTGAAGTTTGTCCTTGACACTGTTTTTGTCTTTAGCATTTAATACCATAGCAGTTAAGCTTGTGTAGATATTTGGTAATATTAAAAAGCCACCTTTCCTAGATAGTGAAATAAACTCATAAATATTGGGAGATGACACATGTCTCAGAGTGTAAAATGGATTAATTTTCTGGTTTCTAAATTACCCCTTATTTGTTAACCTTTTTAAAGCAGTGAAAGTCCCCCTCCCCCCCCTTTTTTTTCTCAGCAACATGTATAATCAGTTCCAGGAACTCTTCTAAGCCCTTTTTAATTTTCTTTTTCTTTTTTTATCCTCACCTGAGGACACTTTTCCATTTTTTATTCAGATAGAGTGGGAGGGAGAAAGAGGAAAAGAGAGAGAGAGAAACATCGATGTGAAAGGGACACATCGAGTGGCTACCACCTGCACGACCCAACCAGGGCTGGGGACAAACCACAACTGAAGTACATGCCCTTAGCAGGAACCGAACCCGGATCTCTCTGGACCGCAGGTTGATGCTCTAACCGCTGAGCCAAATCGGCCAGGGCAGCCCTTTTTAATTTTCGTAACAACCCTCTGAAATAGGATTTGTGATTCTTTTCACATTTTATAGATGAAGAAACAGGAATAGAAGTTAAGTAACCTGCTCAAGTCACCATCCATTCCATTTGCTTTTGCCAGAATTTGAACCCAGATAGTTTGGCTGCTGTCTCCCAAGCTCTTCACCACTATGCTTTGCTGCTGCTCTGGTTTGTAATAATGAAATCAGCTAGTGAATTACACTCTTTGGGACTGGCGCATGCACCAAAAATAAAATGTTGCTAATATCCTTCCCTCAGTATATTCAGAAAGATGATTATTTGTTCCATTCAACAAAACTTTGAGCTCCTTATCTTAGGTATGCAAAAGGGATGTAAAGATAAGTAAAATGGGGTTCCTTGCTTACAGCAAAGGAGAAATAAGGATGACTCACTGCTCATTTAAGAGATCAGTTTAATTATCTTTAGTTTAAGAATGATCAAGTACGTCCCTGGCCAGTTTGGCTCAGCGGTTAGAGCGTCGGCCTGTGGTCCAGCGAGACCCAGGTTCGGTTCCTGCTAAGAGCATGTTCCTTGGTTGCAGTTTGTCCCCGCCCTGGTTGGGTTGTGTGGGTGGCAACCATTCGATGTGTCCCTTTCATGTTGATGTTTCTCTCTCCCTCTCTCTCTCTCTCTCTCTCTCTCTCTCTCTCTCTCTTCCTCCCACTCATCTGAACAAAAAACGAAAAAATGTCCTTGGGTGAGGATAAAAAAAAAAAAGCAAAGAATGATCAAGTACTTACCTATACAACTCTTCTGCAGACTATATTGTCATTGTATATCTCTCTCATTTTGAACTAAATTCTACTACACTCTCAAATTCCTTGTTAATGAATTTAGGCTAAAATAATGGACCTTTTAATTATAGTATCTGTCAAAAAAGAGTTTGTAGGAAAAATACACCAAAAACAGAATTTAGAAAACATTTAAGTAATGTCTATTCCCTGTAGCTCTTTATCTGTCTGTCTAACAAAAACCATCCATATTCACATTTAGGTGATTACTATAGGATAGCATGTTGGTATATATCCCTCTAGACTTCTCTGCATGCATTCAGATAGGGGTATGTATTGAACAAAAATGTGTTCAGATTGTTACATACTAATCTGCTTTTAGCATGCCCAAAAGAACTTCTGCTTGGGATTGATCAGTTTTCTTAATAAGTTCTTTTATGGAGTCTGTATTAAACATACTTTATTATTTGAGGGATTGTTCATTAGCAGTAATAACTTAGCAAGCATTTATTGAACACCTAATATGTGCTATAGTGCTATCCTAAATGTCTTTTTATATTAAGTAATACTAATATGTAAGGCCTTCACAGTTTACTATGGTTTGTTTGGGAAAATGTTGCCTATCTCTGAAGATAGATTGCAAAGCATAGCAGGCCCTAAATATGGACCCAGAACCATTTGACTATCACATACCACTGCAGACAGCTGCTTGTCTCCTCTGCTTCTTAGAACTCATTTGTTCATCATTCAGCAAACGTTTGAGTATTACCATGTGCCAGGGATTATGCTAGGCTCCACTATTAGTTGTTCCGGAACTTAATGCTTCTTTGGCACTATTCACAAATGCCTGCTTAACTGGTAGTAAGATCTTATCTTTAAACCATCCATGCCCTTAACCTCTTGGAAAACAACCAGATTGAGAAATACAAAAGAGTGCTTAAGCATTAGGGAAAATATCTCAGCAAGTGAGAGTCTATTGGCTTATTAAAATTGATTTATTGAACTGGTACCACTGTCATCCCAGCAACTGTATGGGCCCCAGTGCTTGCAGCATAACGCCAGTCTCCTCTTAATTAACTAAGGAGCGGCAGGTAACAGCCTACGATTAGATCTTCATGGTTATATTGTGGGTTCCTGCGATTTTCTATCCCACAGAGGGACAGGAGACAAGCCACTTATAGTTGTTCTTAATGTGAGGGTGTGGGGACCAGGAACTTTTCTGTTTAACTTTCCCTTAGCTCACCTTGCAGGCTGGGCCCAAAGATTGGCTTTTTTCTTGAAGCCTTGTATAATTTATTTTTGTTTGTTTGGTTTTTGTGAGGTGGGTGGGAGAAAGGTGAGGAATTAGTAATATTTATTAGCAGCTTTCTAATTAAGATGAAAGGGTTATAGGTTTCTATTAAAATGAATATGCCACAGGTCTCCAATGTAGAAGAATTCTAACTAATTTATGTTGATACTCTATCCTGAAGGAAATGGAGCATAACTTTCCACTCCTAAAGTATAGGCTGTGCATAGTGACTTCTTTCTAATGAGTATATGGTACAGTATAGTTTAGTATTCTGTACTACAGAAAAAGGGAAAAAGAGTAACTATACAGTGGAGAAACCTGACAAACACTACCTCAGCCAGGCAATCAAGGTAAACAACAGCAGCGATAAGTCATGTTAATAATATGCACCCGTGATGTAATGTGATGAAATGGCACTTTGCCTTTGTGACCTTCCTCCCCAAAACTTATAACCCCAGTGTAATAATGGGAAGAACATCAGACAAATTCCAACTGAGGGACATTCTACAAAATATCTGATTACTACTCCTTAACTCTGTCAGAGTCATCAAAAACAAGGGAAATCTAAGAAACTGTCGTAGCCAAAGGGAGCCTAAGGAGACATGACAACTAAATGTAATGTGGTATACTGGAACAGAAAAAGAACATTAAATGAAAACTAAGGTAATCACAATGAAGTATAGACTTTAGTTATTAACAATAATGGTTGGTTTATTAATTGTAACAGATGTTCCATACTAACGTAAAATGTTAGAAGTAGGGGCGAGAAATATCTCCATAATTTTCTGTAAATCTAAAATGATTCTAAAATAAAAAAAATTTGTCTAAAAACGGTAACAACAAAAATTAATTTGCCCAATCCTGACTAATTGACAATTGACTTTTGCATTAATTTTGATTTGGGGCTATCTGCAGCGTTACTCTGCAACTTATACACAGTTAGTCAGGAGTTCATTTTGCTGTAATTGAGTTATCAATGAAATATTAAATTTATTCTCATGTTCTTTTAAAGGTATATTAAGGAAATAAACTATATTTTCTATAATTGTTATCAAGACCAGTCTTAAGAAGATTTAGTTATTAAAAAGGAAGCTTTTAAAATTTTATATGTTAATAATTTTGAATTTGTGAAAATTGTGAAATGTCCAGATTTTGTGGGGGTGGTATAGAGGATAGATTTTGGAAGGGGGCTGTTATAAATGTTTAGAGGAAAAGTAGTGAAAGCCTGTCTAAAGAATATTGGAGTTCATAGTAAAGAATTGTTTTAGCTTTAAAAGGGAAAAATCAACAGGACAAATTGAATGTAGTAGTAAAAGGGGAGGAAAAGGTCTAGAATGATTCCCTAGTTTCTGACTTGGGTGTCTGGTTAAATGGTAGTAAGAGTAACCAAAAACAAGAATATAAAAGGAACATTGGGAGGAGGAAAGGAGAAAAGGGGAATTTGTATTACTTGTGGGTTACAGGTTTATAATCTTTAAAGAGTACTAAACATTTTGTCTATATTGTTTAATTCTTACAGCAACCTTAAGGTATTTTATAGAGATTTCTATGGAAATTTCGGTATTAGATATGAATCATGACCGTTTTTTACAGTTAGAGATATGAAGCAGAGATTATGGTGAGATTGTGTAGTTGAGGCTTCACAGGACCAGGGTATGGACCTCAGCTTTAAAGGTCCAGAAGTAATTAGACTTGAGATGAATAATATTAATGAACTTGTAAGACATTGATGTATAAGTCAGTATGCCAAAAGACTATTTACATAAAGAAATATTCTTCTTAGTGGATGGTAGTATTCATAGCAGCTCATCCGTAGCTCTTTTTTTCTCTGCTGGAGAAAAAAAAAAATCTGTGAAACACTGAAATAAAATTAGAAATTGGTGAGCAAGACAATTGGTTGGATAATCTTAATGGACAATATCATCAACCTATGATAATTTCCTTATAGTGTGCTGAAAACAGATAACATTCTACTGATTCTATTGGAGGGCAAATTAGAACACTGGGGTTGCTTGTTTAGGAACTTTCTCTGTTGATAATGCTGGCCCTACACGACAAATTATATTTCTCATTTTCTTCTCGAGGTTTCATAGAAATCATTTCTTCACTCTTTTTAACTAATCATTCTTTTTTGAAAAAAGACATAATTTAAATCTTTTTTATTGTAATTCCATCCTGGTGATTCTCTGTTGTTTTTTATCCCAATTGGACTTTTTTATCTTCCCTTCTACAGATCTCTTATTCTCTAGTTGTTTGTTATCTGTATGTTTTATTTACTTAATTAAATGTTGTCTGATCTGATGTATTCACTCATTTGCTAATATAACACTGTTTCTATGAAAAATTTGAAATTACCATTTCTCTTTAAAATACCTTAGTAGTAGTATAATAATTTATTTAATCAGTTTAAAATGAGGATTTGCATTAATTAATGCCAAATCTCTTTAATTTTTATTTTTATGATATATTTCTTAATCTCAGGATTGTGAGAGGAACACAGTTATTTTCATATGGTTAGTCAATAGTATACAACATGTATGTCAATGGGATTAATTAACAGAATAGATTTATACTGCAGTAAAAATCTTGCTCCCTAAAAATATGAATTTTGCATTTTAATATTAGGATTTAATTCACTTTTTAGAATGTGATCTAGAAGGGGCTAGGGCTATTTTTGTCATTTCCAACAGTAGCCTGGAATTGCTACCTTTTCCTGTTCTGACAGTTCACTTACACATATTGAGAGAGGAAAAATTAAAAACAAACAAACAAAAAACATGAAGTAAATGAGAGCAGAAGAAGCAATAGGCTTTCAAGAATTCAAATTATTTTTGTTTAAATGCCTTAATAACTTTCTGAGCCATTGGCTTTTCTTTCTGAGGAACCTCAGCTTTCACTAGCTTGTTTTCGCTTATGAAATGAAAGGCTGAATGATGAACAAGTAAGTAATGACTCCATCTCAGTGGATACCTTATGTTCAGAGGAGGCGTCACTCCTCTTTCTTTTTTTTCCTTTGAGCTGTTGGTAGTGCATATGGGAATGTACATCTGAAATGGGAATGGGAGATGGTGGGAAACATAGTTCCATAAGAACAAACTTCTCAGGAATATCAAGAATGTTTAGTAATGTGACTTAATAAAAAACTTGATAGAATTAACATGAGCCACACTTTATAATTTAAAACTTGTAACATTTATATATCTTGCCTAAAAGAGTAAAGTTGCAAATTAAGACTTTAAGATAGTAAGCCTAAATATTATCTTAGTGTTTTAACTTAATTTTTTGGATCAAACTAATATACATACATATTTAAGTCAGATACTACCACAAAGCTTCTAATAAAAGCGAACTGTCTTCTGCTTTATTCCTCTTCATCTCTGTCTCCATACCAAGTAACTTACAACTTCTCCTGCATTATCTTAATTTATATATCAGTTTTTCTTTAAATTAATAACGTGTTTATATTATTTTTAATAATTACATTTTATTTTTAATAAAACTTTGCACATGATTTAATACTTGCATCTTTAAAACTGTCTAAGAATTGTAAAACTCCTATAAATTCTGTTTCTCACATGGCCAAATGTGTAGAGAAACAGATAATGAATGGCATTAGCATCATGATTATTCAAATCCAAACACTCAGTAGTATAATGTTGTACCAGTACTTTTCCCCATTAAGAATCTGAGTCAAAGTCTAGTATTTTGTTTTAATCTACCAAATGAGGAGGATTAGAATCCTTATAATTACTGGAAGCAAACTAAAGCAGGAAACCTTAGCTTTTATGAGGTCCATGAGTGCGATGTAGGTGTTTGTAGACTTAAAATTGTAGGTTAAGACTTTTATGGGCATTTCTCAAGGGGTGAGAGTTTATAGCTTTCCACAGATTTCCAAATTAGTCTGTCACACCTAAACAATGGTTGTAACTTCAGTAACCACCACTGAAGGGTGCCTTTAAGCTGTGATTCTCAGTATGTTTTGGGTCATAAACCTGTTTAACAATCTGATAAAAGCTATAAACTTTCAAATTTGGTACAATTGTCGAGGTTCTTGGATCCTATATGTGGGATTCATAGACCACTACCATTAAGGAAACACGTTCTGTGTCATGTTAGGCCTTAATCTCATTATTTTTAATCTCATTATTTTAGAGACTTATTGTTTCATTTACACATACTCTTATTCTGTACCTTCAGACTATTTCTCTATACTTTCATAATATTTCTCTTTAAAATTTTTATCTCACATATATCACCTTAGGTAATATGTATTTTACTATTATTTCTTTACCTTTCATACCATATTGGAACAATTTTTAAAGTTTTCATTTCCTGTTTTTATTGCCTTCTTTAGGTATGGGGCAGTTATCTTAGGTTATAGTCTTTAAAAAGAACAGTTAGTGGATAAATATGTTAAAGGAGATTTTTTCCCATATAGCTGAGATCTGGAAACAGCCCATCAGTAGATGAGTGGATAAAAAAGCTGTGGTACATTTACACACTGGAATACTATTTGGCTGTAAAAGGAAATCTTACCATTTGCAACAGCATGGATGGACCTGGAGATTATTATGCTATATGAAATAAGCCATTAAGAGAAGGACAAATACCATATGATCTTACTTTCATGTGGACTTTTTTTTTTTATGGAAAAGAGATTTTTATTTTTTATTATTATTTTAAATATTTATTTATTTTTATTGCAGATGCTCCCCCCCCCCCATTGACACCCTCCTCCCAATCCCGCCACCCTCCCAGCATTTTTGTTTCTGTCCTTGTTTACGCGTACATGCATATAAATTCTGTGGTTTATCTCTTCCATCACCCCCCATCCACCTCTTCTGAGGTTTGTCAGTCTGTACCACACTTCCATGTCTCTGGGTCTGTTTTGTTCCTCATCTTGTTTTGTTCATTATATTCCACAAATAAGTGAGATCATGTGATATTTGTCTTTTCTAATTGGCTTGTTTCGCTTAGGCTAATACTTTCCAGGTCCCTCCATTTACATGTGGAATTTAATGAACCAAATAAACTAAGTGGAGACAGACTCATGGATACAGAGAACAGACTGACAGCTGTCAGAGGGCAGGAGGGAGGGGGGCTGGATGAAAGAAGGTGAAGGGATTAGCCAAAAAACATATATATATATATCTCAGACATAGACCCAGACAACAGTGTGGTGATGGCCAGAGGGAAAGGGGGATGGGGACTAGGTGGAGGTGGGCAAAGGACGGGGATAATGGGGACAGAAAGGGACTTTGCTTGGGACAATGGGTGCACAATGCAGTACGCAGATGATGTTTTACTTAGTTGTGCAATTGAAACCTGTGTGGTTTTTTGAACCAATGTCACCCCAATACATTAAACCAACAGAATTTAGTCTGGCTGGTGTGGCTCAGTGGTTGAGCGTCGACCCATGCACCAAGAGGTCACTGGTTTGATTCCCAACCCAGGTAGGTGCCCTTGACTGGGAATCGAACCCAGGACCCTTTGGTCTATAAGCCGATGCTCTAACTGCTGAACCAAAGTGGTCAGGGCTGATACTTAAATAATAGATTATGATGACCCATCTTAATGTGTTTTGACATCTTTGCAGAATTCATGTTAAAATGTCAGTTATAGCTATGTAAAATATGTCTCAATTATTACTCTTTTTCTACATTGGTATTTTTGTTATTTGGTTGTTCTTTATTAACTCTTTTATTAATATATTCTATTTAAATTGAACCTAAGAGATTCCACAAATCAAAATTGTATCCTTATTAGGATATTTTTCTTAACCTTTTGGTATTTATTTATTTTTTAATCTCTCACGTTTCTTCTTTGTAGCACTCCCATTCTATTTTGATTCTATTCTCCAGTTAGTGACAGTTTGTTTACCTCTTAAAATATTAAAAAGTGTACATCTGAGATTTAGAAAAATTGAAATTTTGTTTGTCTCTGTGCATAATTTTCTTTAAAGAAGAATATTTTCATTTGACTTCAAAAGGTTTTTTGACTATTTCCCCCCCAAAACAAATATTTAATTAAATATAGAATTGTGTAAATATCAAAATAACATAAATTTGACTTTCAGTGCAATGCGTGTTTTACTATCTAAATTACCAAGACCATGGATTGTGGATGAGAAGAAAGATGATGGTTATACTGCCTTGCATTTGGCTGCCCTTAATAATCATGTGGAAGTGGCTGAATTGTTGGTACATCAGGTAGGAAAAGCAGTTCAATCATTTTTAACAATTTTAGACCATTGCCATTTATTTATTAGTTCATCATCTACCTATTAGTATGTTACAGTAAAATCCCATGATGATGCAAATTCAGAAATAGTGCACAGTCTTCCATCTAGCACTGGTTGTAAATGGAGGGAAGGAGTGTGTGTGTGTCTGTCCCTCAGTCCCCAGTGTTTCTTCTGCACAGTCTTCCCAATGAAATGAGTATCAACTAAAAGGGATTTCCCAGAATCACTGCCACTGTTGTGGAAGTGTTAATCAGCCATAGGACCAAGAACCATCATATTTATATTTAAGCTGGTGTGGCCACTTGCTATCAGGTAACACCAGGCTGCAGCCAGGATCTGGGGATTCAGTTTGTGGTTACTGCTGGACCCCTGGAATCTGTGGCTGGATAGCAGCACCCACTCACCTTAGTCATTTCATCCATTTCGGAAATAAGATGACTTAACTTTTATGACTGAATGTTTTTGAACCTATGTTTTGGTAGTTTATGGTGTTTTTGTATATTCAGCAAATTTTTAAAATGCTTCCATCAAGCATATGCCATATAAAAGGACTGAAATTATCAAATAATTATCTGTGATCCCTGACTTTAAGGAACTTACAGTCAAGTTAAGAAGATGAAATAGAAAAATTTAGGAGATAGTGCACTATGTGTAATTAAGATCATAATTACAGATCATACGATAGTCCCTCCATAAACTACATAAGTTTAGATAAAGAAATAGTTCAAAGGGTAAGCTGCCTTTCCTCTGCCATCTTAAGCCTTTATTATTAAAATTAATTCTTTTAGAAGTATTGCTAATTATGATGTATTCTTTTATTCTAATCCAGATGGCAGACCTTAAGCCAATACCACACTGTCTTAGTTGTTGTTGCTTCATAGTAAGACTTGAAATCAGTTAGAGTAAGTCTTTCAACTTTGTTTTTCTTTCTCACAATTGCTTTCATATTCTAGATTTTTTTTTTTTTTTTTTGTGGTACGTGCCCCTAGCGGGAACCAAACCCAGGACTCTCTGGTCCGCAGGCTGACACTCAATCGCTGAGCCAAACTGGCCAGGGCTATATTCTAGATACTTTGAATGTCCATATATATTTTAGAATTATTATTAGTTTTTATTAAAAAGTGGGAGTTTTGTTTTTTTTTCCCGTTCATTGATTTTAGAGAGAGAGAGAGAGGGGAAGGGAGAGGGAGAGAGATCTAGAAACATTGATGAGAGAGAACATTGATTGACTGCCTCCTGCATGTCCCCCACTGGGGATCGGCCCACAACCTGGGCATGCGCCCTGACTGGGAATCGAACTGGTAACCTCTTGGGGCATGGATTGACGCTCAACCACTGAGCCACCCTGGCTGGGCTCTTTTGGGAGTTTTATTGCTCTTACACATATTAGATTTATCTTTAAGTTTTGATGCTATTATAAATTGTTTTAAAATTTAAATTTCTAATTGTATACTGTTAGTGTATAGAAATTCAATTATATTTTGTATATTGATCGTGTATCCTATGACATTGCTTAAATTACCACTGGTCATTAGGGAAATAAATTACTCTCTGTTTATCATGGTTCATCTGTTCCAGACTAACGGTTGCACCTGGCGTTGAAGGATTCCTGGGGTGCTCGAATACATAGGCCTACAGTCCATATGTGCAGTAATTTTAATTTTAATTGTAACACAGGGGTGTATAATTGACTCAGACAACTGAGCGCATGCTGTATCATTTTCACTGTCTTGGTCACCTTTTTTTTTTTTTATCCTCACCCAAGGACATTTTTCCACTTTTTGTTCAGATAGAGTGGGAGGGAGGGAGATGAAGAGAGAAAGAGAAACATCTACGTGAAAGGAACATATCGAGTGGTTGCCACCTGCACGACCCAACCAGGGCCTGGGACAAACTGCAACCGAGGTATGTGCCCTTAGCGGGAACCGAACCCGGTCTCTCCGGACTGCAGGCCAACACTCCAACCACTGAGCCAAACCGGCCAGGGCTCAACTTTTTAATGAATATATTTGAAAAAAACGTGATAGAGTGAAGCCGTGAAAGTTGAAGCGCGAAGTGGCGAGTGCCGACTGTATAATCATATTGAGATATGACTAATTATCAGCTCCAATAACTGAAATTAAAAAGGCTAGAAACACCAAGTATTGATTAGAATATGGCACAATTAGAATACACAAACATCGCTGGTGTTTTTTCAAAGCAGCTATTTTGAAAAATAATTTGGTAGTTTCTTATAAAGTTAAACATATTTTACTATATAACCCAGCAATCCCGCTTGTGGGCATTTACTCAAGAGAACTGAGGACACATTTCCACACAAATACTCACACTAAATATTTGTAGCAGCTTTATTTATAATAACCCCAAACTGGAAGCAAGCCAAATGTTCATCAGCTGGTGCCCAGATAAACAAATTATGGTACATCCATACAGTGCAGACTACTTTGGAAAATATAAATGATGGACAAGTTCAGAAAACTTGAATAGGAAAGTTCTTCTCTATCTGCATTTATATGAGAACAGACATGATAAGAAAACAAGCTGAGATTAGGTGCCTCATGATCTCACTCAAAAAACAAATAATAAAAACAAACCATAAATTCCGTCTTCTAGAAAATGTCACAGCATTACTGGAATTTCAGCTCAACCTGATGCTTCAAACAAAGGCACACAGTTAGGTATCAAAGTTGTAATCAGAGACATAAACAGAATGATAAAGTTTATCTTTTGAACCTGTAGCCCTTTTCTTAATTTCCTATTTTTTATTATGCCAGAGATTGTGCTAGGCAGTTTTGCATGTTACTTTTTAAAATCTTCACATTAACCCTGTGAAATAGACTGTACTATTACCATTTTGGAGCTGAGAAAATAGGCATGAAATGGTACAATGCCTGCTTTAAGTTCATTTCACAAACTCTAAGTGAGAGGGAACCTAGGTCCCCTGATGCTAAGTTCATTGTTTTTGCTTTTCAGTCCCTTTTCTCTGTCATTAGCTTCAGGTGTTCTCATATAGTCCCGTAGCTTTCCCGGGGCTCTGGTGGGACATTCTGCTCTTTCTTTGTAGGTGTTGTTATGTACTAATTACTGTTGTCTTCATCTCACCCTCAAGCAGAGTTCCTTTTCACTGAAGGAGGAAAAGCTCAGTTATACAACAAGAGGAAGTGAGCTTATTAGGTCATTAAAGTATATCTAAATCCAGTATGAGGACTCATTAATAAAACTTTTCAGGAAATATTTACAGTTAAAATGGTACTGATTATCTCCATTGCTCTGTAATGGAGATGGAAAAGGAGCTGTGTTTGACCCTGGTCCTTTAACTGTTCTTATTTGAAATTACCATAATAAAATTAATTTCAAAATTGCTGCTCTACTTCAGAAAGTTTGCTGCCCTTTTAATTCTTCCTCTATTACCCACACTGTTACCTTATAAGAACAATGTCCCAGCAGCTAGAGGAGTGGAAAGTGGTCAACAGAATCCAATGCTATTTACTCCTCAAAAAGAGTTACAGCCCTGGCCAGTTTTGCTCAGTGGTTAGAGTGTCGGCCTGTGGTCCCGAGAGACCTGGGTTCGGTTCCCGCTAAGGGCACGTACCTCGGTTGCAGTTTGTCCCCGGCCCTGGTTGGGTTGTGCGGGTGGCAGCCACTCAATGTGTCCCTTTCACATCGATGTTTGTCTCTCTTCCTCTCTTTCCTTTCCACTCTATCTGAACAAAATAATGGAAAAATGTCCTCAGGTGAGGTTAAAAAAAAAAAAGTTACAGTTTTGGTGTTTTTCACTGTTGTCAAATTTTTACTATGTAAACTTTGTTGTTCTTTTTCAGGGTAATGCAAACCTGGATATCCAGAATGTGAATCAACAGACGGCCCTCCACCTTGCTGTTGAACGACAGCACACCCAGATTGTTAGGGTAAAGTGTTTACCGACATGAATGTTAGTTTACAGTTGTATTTTAACCAGACAGATTTCTAGAATGTTTTGAAAATTTAAGTAATGCATTGTTAGGTTTCTCAGGAGGCATAGTTTTATGTAAAAATTATGATTTTAGACTATTTTATATCAATTTATTTATAGTAGGGAATATGTTAAAACTCTGATATTCAGAGTTTTTATAATTTTGTTGCTAGATCTGTGAATTCCCAGAATATTAAATAAGAGAATTGCAAAGTAGCATGTAAATTAGTTTTTATATAGAATTTTAATTACAAACTTTGGCTGAACGTTCGCTGTACAGATTCCAAAAAAGCTGAAATATTTATTTTATTAATCTGGTGATTCCAGACAAAATATTTGAAAGATTATTTATTTACAAATTTTTGGTAGAGCAGTGATTCTTAAAGTTTGGAGGCTGGCCCAGCAACATTTTTATCACCTGTGATCTTAGTAAAAAAGTAAATTCTTGGGCTCTACCTCTGACCAACCAAATCAAAACTTCCAGGGGTGGGAACTGGCAGCAGTCTGATTTAACAAGCCTTCCAGGTAATTCTGATACACATTCAAAATTGAGAAACACTGCCCTGGAATGACATTCTTTTGTGACCTTTTTGAAACAAAGTAAAAACAAAAACAATTTGCCAACATAGGTAAGACCTTATGCTTGAGATTTGTTTCTGTATATGGTGTTTTTCTAAAACTCTGATAGCATTTGTAGACAGAATTAAGAAAATTGTTAAAGCACCACAAGCACAATCTTAAATAAAGTTATATTTACTACTTAAAAAATATATTGTTATTTTAGCAAATATCTATTGTAGTTTAGCAAACACTTCACATTTATTGTTATTTAAAATTCCTCTTGATAAAAATTCTTCATTAATCTATGATATTTGGGCTTCATTTATGACCATACATTTGGAGAAAATTGACCAAAGAGAATGGAATAAAAAATAACTTCTTATTTGTTTAAATAATAGAAGAATTTTGAACATTATGATTTGGTCCTATTGGAAGTACTTAATATATCCTCACATATCTGATATTAAAAAAGAAAAAAGTCCTAAATCTCTCCCAGTTATATTGATCTTAGAGTAGATGAATTAAACAATATATTGGTTCTCCTTTCTGTTTTCTTTAATTTGTTACTCAGAAGGCATCGCTATTCGCTATTCGTAAGGATCCACAAGGGTATAGAGTAGTAGCAAGCAAATATATATGAATCATTAGCTTTAGTGGCAGCCTCTTTAGGTAGGCTCTCTCGCTATTTCTTTAGATACATTGTAATTTTCTTGTGGGTGGGGATACTTTAGCAAAATGAGATGTCTTTCTCTTTTAGCTTTTGGTCCGTGCAGGTGCCAAATTAGATATTCAGGATAAGGATGGAGATACTCCTTTGCATGAAGCTCTAAGGCATCACACCTTGTCTCAGCTACGTCAGCTCCAAGATATGCAAGATGTGGGGAAGGTCGATGCTGCCTGGGAGCCATCCAAAAACACAGTGAGTAAAAATACTCTTTAATTCAGTACCACTGAAAATCATTTTCCTAATGACTACTGATATTGAACATCATTTAATGCAAGATCTTATGTTTATGACTGATTTAACCTGTATCAGATAAAATATTTTCTCGGAGCTACATATGTAGAAATTTATTTATGAACTAAATACTAGTCAGTGCTAACTATATTGTCTTACATTCTATTTTTTTTAATGCTTTTATTGATTTTTTAGGGAGACAGAGATAGAAACATTGATGTGGGAGAGAAACATTTATTGGCTGCCTCCTGCATGCCCCCTACTGGGGATGAAGCCTGCAATCTGATCATATGCCTTGACCAGGAATCAAACAGGGACCTCTCAGTCCATGGGATGAAGCTCATTCTACTGAGCCACATCGGGTGGGCTGCTTCACATTCTTATCAGTAGTTGCTTGGTTCTTTCTTTCTTTTTTTTTTTAACTTTAGACATTCAAGTAGATGTGTTGTGGTTTTAATTTGTGTTTCCCTAGTGACTACTGATATTGAACATACTTTCATTGGCTTTTTTGCCACCCACATCTGTTTGATGAATGTTTGTTCATTATTTTGTTGAGCTGTTTCTTACTATTGAGTTTTGAGAGTTATTATATAATCTAATACAATTTCTTTTTCAGATATATGATATGCACATGTTTTTTCCTAAGGCAGAAGTTCTTAAATATGATGAAGTCTGTTATATTATTTTTAACTTGTTTTCTGCTTTTTGTGTTCTATCTGAGAAATCTTTGCCAAACTCAAGATCACTAAAGTTTTCTTCTGTTTTGTACTAGAAGTTTATAAAGTTTTAGCTGTTACATTTAGGTCTGTGATTCATTTTGAGTTAAATTATATATATATATAAAATATATAAATAATGAGATATGGCCCTGGCTGGTGTGTTTTAGTGGTTAGAGCGTTGGTCCACACACCAAGGGGTCATGGGTTTGATTCCCAGTTGAGTGCACATACCTGGGTTGCAGGTTCAATTCCTGGCCCCTTGGGGCAAGTGTGGGAGGCTACCAATCCATGTGTCTCTTACATTGATGTTTCTCTCCCCTTCCTGCTTTCCACTCTTTCTAAAAATGAATGGAAAAGATGTCCTTGGCTGAGGATTAACCAAAAAAAAAAAAAAAAAAACTATTTTAAAAAATGAGATAGAGATCAAAGGTTATTTTTTTCTGCTTGTGGCTGTCCAGTTATTCTAGCACCGTTTGTTGAAAAGACTGTCTTTTTGTACTGAATCGCCCATTGTATCTTTATTCAAAATCAGTTTTAACCATGTATGTGAGTGTTCTGAATCAGATGCTCTGTTCTGTTGATCTATGCCTTCAGCTATTGATCTGTGTCTTTAGCTACATGATGCCAGCTCACTGGATTGATTAATGTAGCTTTATAATAAATGTTGAAATTAGGTAGTATAAGTCCTCTAACTTTTTTCTTTTTTTTCAAAGTTATTTGACTATTCTAAGTACTTCACCTTTCCATATGAATTTGAGAATCATTTTTAAGAATGTAAGGGGGTTCTTAGACTAAAGTATTTGAGAATTGCTGCCTTTCTATATGGTCATAAATAAATTCTCTAACTCTGTGTGCCTCATTTTTCTCATTTTAAAATGAGAGGAAGGGAGTAACTGTCTCTATAAGGTTGTGAAAATTAAATTAGTTAACTCATGGAAAGTGCTTTAAATAGTTCTTGGTTCATTGTAGACACTTCATAAATGTTAACAATTATTTTCAAGTAAGATGTTTGAGTCAGTAATTCAGATGATAACAGACGTGTTTGTTTTATTCTCCATTTCTTGGCTCAGTTCCTAGGTATTTTTTTTTTCCTCACTTGTCTTCCCTTATTGTTTCAAGTTGGTTCCTAGCAGCTCCAGAACTGAATTGAGTAGAAAAGAAAGTACTATTTCTTTAATATCTGAATCACAAGTCTTATTCTTGAATTTTATTGGTCTTAATTGACCTGATTTGGGTTGTGTGTCATTCCTGAGCTAATCACACAGAGAGGTTGATATCTGATGGGTTTGAGCCATCATTGGTCCACCTCTAAAAGTGGAGAGTATGCCAATCCTCAAGCTATATGCCTGAGAAAAGTGGAGCTACAGGGGAAGGGGGAATGGATATTAGGACTGCAGCTTATAAATGTCCACCATGTTTATATAGACTGTATATACCAGACATATATTTTTATATGTAATAGACCCATACATATTAATATATGTACATATACACACACATAACGTATACACACATATATATGTATATATACAGGGTGGGGCAAAAGTAGGTTTACAGTTGTTTGCATGGGAAATAATACAATAATTAATAAGTAATAGTAAGAATAAACTCTTGTGTTTCACATACTCATAACTGTAAACCTACTTTTGCTCCACCCTGAATTTGGTGGTAAGAATTGATAACAGATTCTTAAAGGGAAAATAATGACTCTTTTTTTATTTGATTTCAGTTAATAATGGGACTTGGTACCCAGGGGGCAGAGAAAAAGAGTGCAGCATCCATTGCTTGTTTCTTGGCTGCTAATGGTGCTGACCTTAGCATTCGAAATAAGAAGGGTCAATCACCACTTGATCTCTGTCCTGATCCAAGTCTCTGCAAAGCATTGGCAAAATGTCATAAAGAAAAAGTCAGGTTTGTATTATTTATTATCATAAAACTTAATATTCTATACATAAAGTATCATGTCATTTCATAATAGATTACTTGAATACTTGAACATGCTTTTGTCTTTGTTCTTCATCTTTTTTCCCTTTTATTTTTCATTAAATTTATTGGGTTGACATTGGTTAATAAAAGTATATAGGTTTCAAGTATACAATTCTATAATACATCATGCTCTTTCTCTATCTTTGTGTTGACCCGTTCGTTCTTAAAAATTTTCCTATAGAGAATATGTCTCTTATTTCATGTTCTATTCTCTGTTATTAAATATACTTTATGTATACTAAGTTCTAAGAATGTTTTCTAAGCCATTCTGATCTTCTAGTACTCCTATATGTTAGAGGAATTTATAATAAAAGGTCTCACTAGTGAAATTGCTTTGATTAAGGTTATGTGTATTTAAAATTTTTAATAGACTCTTCCAAAGAAAGGCAGTTGACTCCACTCTCCAACAGGATATATCTCTCACAAACTCTAATAATCTAGCACCCTGCACAGTGCCTGATAGGCACTCAGTAAGTATCAAAGAAGAATTGAAAACATGAACAAATGAATGAATCACTTTCTGATGGAGTTTTTTTCTAAGAATGATCATTTCACATTGTCTTCTTTTCTAAAAGTAAAATATGACAGTGTTTTTAATTTACAATAAAACTAAATTTCTCATGAGATCATAGACATACAAAAGGTATATCTTATTAGTTTCTCATCCAAATGATGCCCTTTATACCTGGTTTTTGTCATTGAACATTTCAGTAGTTGTCCCTTGACATTTGTGCTCTCTTACCTCTCTTATAATTTGTGTAGTGATGAAAAGACATCTCTTCGGAATCCATGCGTAGAGCAGTATTTTAGGGAAATTAATATAATGAGTTATATACATTTCTTAAGTGTATCCTTAAGGAACCTAAAATTCTATTACAAAATGACAGAATGTGCCTAAAAAATATATTGATTCAAGGCACTATAATCACTGCAGTAATAACTTTAAGACTAGGGTCTGAGATGAAACTGCTTTGTGTTTCTGAAGATTGAGTTTCTGAAGATTGTAGTAGAAACAGGGTATTCCTTTTCTAGAGCTGTAGTTGGTCATATGTATGTATTTGTATGTCTTTTATCATTATATTTATAGATGGATTCTGACTTTCTATAATAGAATTTTTGCTCCCTAAAGGGACACTTAAAGAAATGTCTGACCCTGGCTGGTTTGGCTCAGCAGTTACGAGAGTCAGCCCATGGACCAAAGGATCATGGGTTTGATTCCTAGTCAAGGGCACATACCTGGGTTGCAGGTTTGATCCCTGGCCCCCATCGGGATCATGAGGAAAGGCAGCAAATCGATATGTCTCTGTCACATCGATGTTTCTCTCTCTCCATCCCTCCCTTCCCTCCACTCTATTTTTGTTCTTAATCCTCACCCAAGGATATTTTTGCATTTATTTTCAGATAGAGCGGGAGGAAGAGAGAGAGAGAGAGAGAGAGACATCGACATGAGAGAGACATACCCAGTGGTTGCCACCCACACGACCCCAACCGGGGCTAGGGACAAACTGCAACCGAGGTACATGCCCTTAGCATGAACTGAACCCTTGACTCTCTGGTCTGTGGGCCTATGCTCTAACCGCTGAGCCAAACTAGCCAGGGCTCTTCTACTCTATCTAAAAAAATCAATGGAAAAATATCCTCAGGTGAGGATTAAAAGAAAAGAAAAGAAAAGAAAAATATCTGAATAGCAGCTGCAGTGACATATTTTCCAAAGAGCCCTGTGAGTTGTGGACTCTGATGATGCTTCATTTCATCCTGTCTGTAGTTAGGATAACTAACATGAACTCTAGTTAGGATTTTTTTTTTTTATTCTTATACTGTTCTCAGCTAATTCTATATAGGTAAAGCAAGTTATGAGTGAAACTATGTATGTGAAATTTTTAACTAGTGTTTTTGATTTCTTTGTTAGAAGAAGATTCAGATTTACCCTTTTCCATTGGGTGAGGACTTCATTTTGTAATTCGAATAGTACTATAAGTACATGAAGATGCAGAGATGTATATAAATAGAAAAATACAGTATACAGTTTTTCATATACAGATACTAAAGCTGTTTTTATATATACAAATGGTTCTCTAGATGTTTTAAAAACATTTTAATTATTGAATTTGTAATATAAATATTCTGATAGGCTTGATTAGAATTTTTTTTTTTTTTAGTGGTCAAGTGGGTTCTCGAAGTCCTTCTATGATTAGTAATGATTCTGAAACCTTAGAAGAGTGTATGGTGTGCTCAGATATGAAGAGAGATACTCTTTTTGGCCCATGTGGACATATTGCTACCTGTTCTTTATGTTCTCCGCGAGTCAAGAAATGCCTCATCTGTAAAGAACAAGTTCAATCCAGGACAAAGGTAATATATTTTTAATATAGCATTTTATCATTTTGTGAGATCTTTGAGACTACTATTAATGATAAACAAGATTATATGGTGCTATGTGTCTGTTTAATTTTGTTTTTCCTATTCTAAATATAGGAATGTATAATTTATATATTTATTGAGACCATTTATGAGATTCCTTCTTTATATGTAAACTATAGTCACTAAAAATAATCTATTATTTTGCTTTCAAAGCACCTTTTAACCTAAAGATATGTCTAGTTCCATTTTGTATTGTAGTTACTTATAAATTGCCCCTTTTCTGAGTACATGAACTGTTTTCTATTTCTTTGTAAAAGGCCATAATTTTTTTTTTTTAGAATGTCACACATCCTAAATTTATTTGATTGTTTGATCACAGCATTAATTTGTTTCTCTATCCTTTGTATTACCTGTAAACTAGAAGGTAGGTCTAATGGCTTGATTAGGGTCTGCTTAAACATTTTTGGCAAGAAAACGTCACAGATGATGCTACTCATTTTGTATTGTTTCCCACCAGAGGCAAATAAATAAGTTTGATCATCCTGCAATTAGTGATGGCCAAATTCTGTATTTACTCTGAACTTTTCATCTTGTCTGACTCCTTTTGCTTTTTGAGAAGCATTATTCTTTTCTGGGTTACTGGTTTTATTCTTTTCCCATGTAACTCAGTGTTTTATCATAATTTTACCATCTTACTCATTTTGGTTTACTGAAATAATTGATTTTCTTGTTTAGTTTTTCCTAATGTATGTGTGTAAAGTGAAATTTAAGTTTCTTTTACAAATGATTTCTCTCAAGGTGAGTAGCTTAACCCAAAAGTTATGTTGATTTTCTTTGGTTTCATTGATGAAGTTCATACTCTATTTTCCATTCTAGTTTTTATTCTTTTCACTTTTCCTTTTACGCTTTCTAAGCTATTTATTAACCTTTATTAATTAGAAAGGAGCTGGCACTAATTCTCCTGATGAATTAGCAGACAGTGACTTAAAAGGTGTTATCTTACCAGTGCTTCTCACATTTTCATGTGGAACCCTCTAAAACTAGAGGATTTTATGATCCAAATGAATACAGTGATACCTCGGTTCTCGAACATAATTCGTTCCAGGAGGACGGTCGAGAACCGAATTGTTCGAGAACCGAAGCAATGAAACCAATAGGAAAGCGTGACTCCACAAAGCGTGACTCTCTCTCTGCACTCACACTGATGACGCAAGCAAGGCGCGCTGGGCCGAATGAACGCCATTCGGCTCAACTCGGCTCATCTCGGAAGTTCGAGTTCCAAATATTTGTTCGGATTCCGAGACAAGTTTCTCGAATCTCCTGGTCGAATACCGATTTGGTCGAAAACCGAGGCGTTCGAGAACCGAGGTATCACTGTATAACTTTGGTAATTGGCATAGGAAAAAATACAAGGAAGTTAATTTTGGGTAGGAGATACTGGAGTGTGTGTGTAGCTACTTAATTTATTGGTAAAGGTGAGGAGGATGAACTAACAACACTGATTGTACACTGGGCACTTTGTTGGCATTTTATCTGTACTATCTGTGAGCCCTGCTTAATAAATAAATATGGATTATTCTACTTGATATTTATAATTTACTTTAGTTAGCCGCGTACAGAGTAACAGTTTGGGAAAGAATCTGAAAGAATAAAAACCTAAGCCATTCATTCTCTTGTTTTTAGCTTGGTCTGTGTATTCTTCTGTACTTGAGACTTTTTGTTATATTAAGCCCTATTTCAATAAACCTTTATTGAACACTTATTTTGTATTCAAGACATAGATGTATATGATAATTTTTTGCTAAAAATTTGTAATCTCTTGGCAATCTGTGACTTAGGTTAAGAGCTACTCTGCCATATAGGATGTTGTAGGTGCTTTAAGATATGTGATGTGAGTTTAGAGTCCCTGGTTGTCAAAAGCAGAATCTCAGATATGGAATAGACCTTATTGTCTTCTAGTCCAATGCTTAGTATGTACAGTTGGAAAAACCAAAGTTCTAGGAAGTACATGAACAATTGGATCTTAATACAGTTCTCTTGATTTTTAAGTCCCTGTTTTGATACACAAACAAAATGAAAAACAATGTCTACGAGGAGGGATTGATAGAACAGGGAGGTAGAGTGGAAGAAATATGCTGTCATTATTTTTTTTAGACCAGTTCTGAATTCCAAGAATTAGTAAGCTTTCCATTTGTTTTTAAACTAGTAATTTTTAAACCTGTAGAAAACTACAAAAACTAAGATGCTCACCAAATACATTTGCCAGATTGATTGCAGAGCCTTTGAAGATGAAGAAATAGTGACCCCAAGTGGTTAAATGGTAATGCACATCTTCAACGAAGATAAATTATAAAACTAGTATTTGGAGGAAGAATCAACAAGCTTAGTTTCTTTAGCAGTTGAAGAAATGCAAATGTAAAAATTATTATTAACCATTCTTATCAAATTAGTGGAAATAAATTAAAAAACAAAAACCTCCTATCTAGGGAAGTGGGAAATGGGCACTCTCTTAATACTGCTGGAGGCTGAATAAATGGCTTCGTGGCTTTGAGACCATCCTGACACTATATATACACAAACCTTCATAATAATCATGATTTAATATAGTAATTCCATTGCTGGGAATATAACCTGAGGAAAAGTTCCAGAAGAGAGAAAAAGTTAACATTTATAAAGTTTTTTTTTTTTTTTAAGTAATAGGGGATTAGGTAAGTAAATGATAATTAGATCACTTTGCCAGATTATTTTGAACTCTTTATAAACAATTCAGATACATGAACAGTTGCATTAGGAACCATTAAAAAAAACCAGCACATCATTACATAGAAAGGAGAAGAGAATTTTCATGTATTGAGCACTGATTTTATATTAGACATTGAACTAAACACATTACACATAACATTTCATTTATTCTTTTTTTATTGTCACATTTTAATCTTTCATCAATACTTAGCATTACAGTTCTTAAAATATTTTAGGAAAATGCTCCTTACATATAAATGGCTAGATCAGTCAGAGTTTCTCCTCCCTGCTGTCATTGCTCTTGAAACTTTGTCCATGTTTCCAGTTGCTAACATTTGGGATTTTCATTTCTTCTTTTACCCAGATTGTGCCTGCTTTTCTGTTTAGTAAACTAGCCAACCAGATAGATGACTGACTGATGTACCTTTGAAACAGCCATGATCCTCAGCCCTAGCCAGTTTCCTTTATGAGAGAGGAAAACCTTTGTTGGGAGTTATGAAAAATTAGTATACTTACCTCAGGCTGTGGGTCCCTTAGCCACCCAATAGGGTCTTCTTATTTTTGCCCCCCCCCCCCCCCCCCCAATTCTGGTGGTGTACTGCTTAGTGCTTGCAGTTTGGAGCTGCATTGCTATACTGAAGGCAACCATCCCTTTCACTGCAATCTGACCTTGAATAGAACTGAAGCCTGGATGTGTAATTCTAGAGGTGGAAAGAATACCCTGGTCTTAGTCCTATGAGCTGCAGGAAACTGAAATTAGTTTCTTTCAACTGTTTGGAATCAATTAGTCAAGTCAGAAACTTAGCAAATAAGCTAGACTTCTTCACCATTCTTCCCCCACATTTTATTCATTATCAAGTTTTCTTACATAGTTCTCAAAACTCTTTCTACTCCTCCATAGTGCTATATCATAGTTCAGTAAGGCCCTCACTGTTTCATATTTAGAATTGTTCAAGAGTATGCTTGAATAAGGGACAACTAACTACTCTCCCTATCTTCTAATTTGCTATTTACTACCCTGTGAAGAAGGATTGTTCAGTAGCATTCAAATTTTTTTTTTAAAGCAGCAGGTCAGCAGTGTTAGGCAGTTTGTTAGTACTAGAACTGAAATTTGAATCTAGGAATATAAATACTTTGACCAACCATGTCTTACTGCTTTCCACTGTTGCTACAACTATATAAACTATCTGCACATAACTGTATAAGTTGGAACAGTCCAGAGAGAGAGCATACGTGCAGTGTTTGGTTGTATAGGTGAGTGGTGGTCATCACTTTTTAGACAGTAATATTAAATGACAAAAGATGTGGATAAAATGTGAATGTGTGTCAGAAGAGAGAAGAATAGGTGAAAGATGGATATGAAGCCAAAGGCAGTGAGGTGGGTGTAAAAGAAACCAGAGCCAAAGTTAAGAAATAATTATACACTCAAAACTCAGATTGATGAAAAGGAGGTAAAATTGAGAGAAATTATGAATAGGTTGTGGAATTCTAGAGATCAGAGAGAAAGAATAGTGCAAAATTTTGGGCTCCAGCCAGTGTTGGGGAATTGACCAAGCCCTGGAAAGGGATGTGTTAGGTAGCATTCCTTAGATGTGGGTAAACAGAAAAATCCCCTTGGATTTTAGCAGTCTGGCTAGACTGGCTAAATTATTATTATTATTATTATTATTATTATTACTACTACTATTATTATTACTATTACTATTATTATTTTATTTTTTTAATCCTCACCTGAGGATATTTTTCTGTTTTTAGCTTCAGATAGAGTGGGAGGGAGGAAGGGAGAGTGAAAGACGTGAGAGGGACACATCGACTGGTTACCTCCCGCACAATCTCAACCAGAGCCAGGGATGAACTGCAACTAAGTATGTGCCCTTGACCAGAATCGAATCCACAACTCTTTGGTCCATGGGCCGATGCTTTAACTGCTGAGCCAAACTGGCCAGGACTAAATTTTTATTGATATTAGAAATCTATCTTAATATCAGTCATTTGTTGTTTTAATTTTTCTCCCCAAAGTAGTTTTTGCAAAAAAGAAAATTGAAGCCTAGTCTGGTTGTCCTGACTTAAGAGAAAATGGAGTTTTTTATTATCATTCTTTTTTTTTTTTTTTTTTTTTCCATTTTTTGTTCAGGTAGAGTGGGAGGGAGAGAGAGGAACAGAGAGAGAGAGAGAAACATCGATGTGAAAGGAACACATCGAGTGGCTGCCACCCGCACAACCGACCAGGGCCGGGGACAAACTGCAACCGAAGTACGCGCCCTTAGCGGGAACCGAACCCGGGTCTCTCAGGACCACAGGCCGACGCTCTAACCGCTGAGCCAAACCGGCCAGGGCTTTATTATCATTCTTTAGGACAGGTAGAGAGACAAGTGGAGAATAGAACCTGTTAAGCAGGGAAAATGAGGAACCAGGAGAGTAGAGGATAGAGAAGTACATGTTAAATTTCTCATGCCTAGAGTGTTTCCTTATAGAGCAAATACATTTGGATACAAAAGAAATTTAGAGTTTTATCTGTAGATGTTCACACTTGTGCTGTGTAACCTTTTTTTTTTTTTTTTTTTTTTTGTAGATTGAAGAATGTGTGGTATGCTCAGACAAGAAAGCAGCTGTTCTTTTTCAACCATGTGGACACATGTGTGCTTGTGAGAGTAAGTAGCCTATAAAAAACTTACTCAACATTATTATAAAAATAGAAAATGAAACAAATTTTTTGATAACTCATGAACAATAAAAGTTGTTGGGCCTCTAGCATTTTACATTTCTTTCTACTATTTTCCTCCTTGCTCCTGAGCCTTAAAGAAGACTGAATATGCTGGATTCCACTAGGTTGAATTTGATTTTATTTGTTTAAGCACAAAATGATCTCTTCTCACACACACTAGAAATTTATTTCTAAAAATGAATGTTGAAACATTTTGTCTAGCCCTTTCTTATATATAAAATTAGCACATCTTTATTTGTCTTCACCTTAATGTTGCTTCTTTTGCATAATTTCCCCACAGCAATAATTAGGGTTATAATTTCTAGCCTCCTTAACCATTCTTTTTTAAAAAATTTATCTTTAATGTAGAAAGTATTACAGATGTCTCTCCTTGAGCCCCTCCACCCCACTCCCCACCCAGATCCAGAGACATTGAAGCATGGAACAGACTGATGAATCTGAGAGGGAAGGGGATGGGAAGAGATTAACGAAAGACTTTAAATGCATATATGTATAACCCCTGGACACAGACAATACTTCCTAACCATTCTTAATTTAACCTCTATGTCAAGAGAACTTATAGAAATCATTTCTTCGTGAGGATAATATTAAAGTTTAAGAGATATTTTAAACTTCGCTTTTATATATTCCTCTTGTTCTTTTCAAGTTCACACTCAGTTCAATATTAATATTTTCTTCTTCCCTTTGCTTTTTACATTTGTCAGTGAAGAATTTTAAACACGTTTAACAAATTATACCTTATTTAAATGGGCTCAAGGTAAAAGCATGGGGTCTCCTATTATAAAATATTTCAGTCAATAGATATTGTTTTTTAAAAAATTAATTAATTTTATGTTTATCTTCAGACAGAGTGGAAGGGGGAGAGAGAGAGAGAGAGAAACATTGATGTGAGAGAGACACATCGATTGACTGCTACCCACCTGACCGCAGCTGGGGCCAGGGATGAACTGCAACCGAAATATGTGCCCTTAGCCGGAATCGAACCCAGGACTCTCTGGTTTCTAGGCCGACGCTCTAAACACTGAGCCAAACCGGCCAGGGCTAGATACTGGTTTTTAATATATCTAACATAATATACAAATTGTATGGTAGATAAATCTCATTAGCCTAGATTCATTTAGCCTTGTTTTTTTTTGTTTTTGTTTTTGTTTTTATTCTGATAGGCAGCTTGTCAACTAAAGAAAGGATCAAAGCTTTCTACTGTAACATTCTGCCACAAGTAATTGTTTCTGTTTACCAAAGACTGGTATAATGCCTATGATCAGTTGTCAGAGTGTATGTAGAAAGATAATTCTGTTTTAAGTTAGAAGAGCTCAGGTTATTTAAGTTTTCGTAGTGTGGGGTTAGCAATTTTTTTAAAGGGTTAAGTAATAAATATTTTTGATTTTGCGGGCTATGTGGTTTCTATAGTAACTCCTCAACTCTTTTCAACTACTTAACTGCCATTTTAGTGACAAAGCAACCATAGACTGTATAAATGAATGGGTTGGACAATTTCCATTAAAATTCTACTTACAAAAATAGGCTACTGGTTGGGTTTGGTTTGCAGGATGTAGTTTATCTCAGTGTTAAATTTTAGTTTTAGGAATGAGCAGAGAAAGGCAGCCCTTTTCTTATTCATGTTCTTTTTTTGTAAGAAGTGTACTGTTATTTTCCAGACTGTGCTAACCTGATGAAAAAGTGTGTGCAATGTCGGGCAGTGGTTGAACGAAGAGTGCCTTTCATTATGTGTTGTGGAGGGAAAAGTTCAGAAGATGCCACTGACGATATCTGTAAGTGGGTTTCTTAAGTATTATCCTTCTTGTTGCGACTTTCCTGAACATCTCTTCTCTCTGTGGTCTTGTAAAACATAAGGTATATGACTTGAATTTACAGAGGACACAGGTAGGGTTTTGCTCTTGTTACATTACTAGAAACCTGAAAATTTTCTAGCTTGTGATATGATTATAGAACTTTATTTTTATTTATTTTTTAATCCTCACCCGAGGGCATTTTTGCATTTATCTTCAGATAGAGTGGGAGGGAGAGAGGAAGGGAGAGAGAGAGAGAGAAACATCAATGTGAGAGAGACACATCAACTGGTTGCCACCCACACGACCCCAACCAGGGCCAGGGACATACTGCAACCGAGGTACATGCCCTTAGTGGGAACCGAACCCGGGATTCTCTGGTCTGTGGGCCGACGCTCTAAGCACTGACCAAAACCAGCCAGGGCATAATTATAGAACTTTAAACATTAGTCTTTTAAGACACCTTCATCTGTGATATAAAGAATATTATTGTATTCTTGCTTAAAGAAAATTTGCTGTTCTGTTTTTAAGATGAGGTTTAGTGTTTCTTGGGGGAACATCATATTACAAATTATTTTTTTTTAGTTTACAAAAGTAATAATCTCATCCTATATCTAGCAAATTTACCTAGAGCATTTTAGCATTTTATGGAATAATAATAATTTGGACAGAGTAACTGTAGATAAACTGAAGTATAACCTAGTGAACAAGTGGAATGATGAAAAGTAAATTATTTACCTTTAACCTTTTCATTAGTAGAGCTATGTAAAAATATTTTTCATCTTTGCACTAGATATAAGCTGGATGGTATCTTTGATTTCTTTGGTCTGTGTATTGATGAGGAAAACATTAGTGTAACTACTTATTCCCGGGGCTTTTTGTCTATATTACCAGTAGAGCAGAATATAATTTCCAGAGATAGATTAATTAGAGTAAAAGGACCAAAGATCTAGAGATTAAGAAAAGTAAAATAAAAAATGTTCCTCTATTTAGTAGACCACTGATCTTTCTTTCATGGAGTTCCTCATCTCAGATCACTAACAAGGAGAGTTAGGGATAAAGGAAGGAGGCTTGCTGCCAACATTAGCTAAAATGCTGTGCTGCTTGTCTTCTTGGATTTATATAATACAGGAACAGGGAAAGTAAGCATAAAATCTACTTGTGAGCTTGTCAATGGAAGAAAGTAAGTCTTGGAAGACTCAAAAGTCTGAGTTGTGTAAAATATGATTAGAAAGTAATGTGTAAACCTATTTTTTTGAGGATTATAAATGAAGTGTCATGACTGTAACATGATTATAACATTAGTGTCATGACTGTATCGTCCATGTGAAAACAGTATCTAAAGAAGATTCTAATAATAGTCTTTTGTGGGCTTTTTTTTTTTTTTTTTAATATTTTTTTTATTGATTTTTAGAGACAGAGAGGAAGGGAGAGGGAGAGAAAAAAAATATTGATGGGTTGCCTTTTGCATATCCCTTCCTGGGGATCGAGCCTGAAACCTGGGTATATGCCCTGACCAGGAATCAAACCCACAACCTTTCAGTGCACAGGATGACACCCAACCAACTGAGCCACACTGGCCAGGGCGTGTTTTTAATAAAACAGTAATAATTTTAGAAATAAAAAATTATTGTGTCAAAACAGTCATAACTTGGAATTTTTAATCTATATTATAGCAAGTGGAAACATCCCAGTGTTACAAAAGGACAAGGATAATACCAATGTCAATGCAGATGTGCAGAAATTGCAGCAGCAGTTACAGGACATTAAAGAGCAGGTAATAATGCTTTTTCCATGGTAAAAATGAGTAAGAATTGCATTTCATATTTTTCTATAAAGTGAGTAGTGTTTTCTATAATAGGCATGGTTCATATTAATATATCACTTGTAGTATTTGAATATTTTCAGCAGGTAAAATCTGATTAAAAGATTTACTCAGGCATTTTCCAAAATAGGAAACACACAAATGGCCATAAACATGAAAAAATGCTCAACCACACTAGCAATAAAGAAATGAAAATTAAAACCACTATGAAGTACCTTCTACCACCTACCAGATTGTGGGAAAAACTCAGTGTTAAAAACTCAGTGTCAAGTTTTTAGGCAGAATATGTAGCAGCCATAACTCACAATGCTGGCAGGAATGTAAGTTAATAAAAACACAGAAAACTTTGTCATTATCTATTAAAACTAAACAGGATATGTTTGGGGATGCAGACTTGGAAAAAAATCATACAGATGGTGTTTAAAATCAAGGGTAGTTTCTTGGCTGGGATGTCTGGCAGGAGGCATAAGAAAAGTTTCTAGAGTGTTGTACTGATACTCCGTTTCTTTTTTTCTTTTTTCTTTTTTATCCTCACCCAAGGACATTTTTGCATTTATCTTCAGATAGAGCAGGGCGGTGTTATTTCTGTAGTAGACAATTATATCAGTGTTGTCATGCAGTTGTTAGAGTCAGTACTTGTCTTTTCTATTTAAATTTGTAAGAATGTAGCATAGTTAATAGATAGTAACCCAGGATAACTAATGACCTTTGTGATAACTACTTTAGAATTAAATGTTTATGTTGGTTAGGAATTTAAAACACCCATCTGAAAAGATGAAAATTCTGATTGGGCCAGTTTTTCTTCTGAAATCCAGCACCTAGTAATACTTGTTATATAGTGAATAAGTAAAGATAAATATGAATTTACTTTACAAGTTCTTAATGTAGGAGTATTAAAATAGGAACATATTTAGCTCATTCTAGTATAGAATAAAGTGTTTTCAAAAATTTGAAGCTCCTTGGAATCTCAGTTCCTTTTCCACAGAAACTTATATAAAGGTAAAACTGATGTTTGGACACACCTTTTGTGAAAAACATTTTATCTGCTAATTGCAAATTAAAATTGTTCTTATAATAAATAATGACACCCTATATGGATCCTAAAAGAATAACTCAGCTCTACCTTTATCCAAAGTTTACCATTCAAAGAAGTTTCTTCTTCCTTAAATTATTTTTATTACCATATTTCATTATTAAAGTATTTAAACACTTGAAACGAAATTAATTTTCTGAGGAATGATGGGATTTCTTACAGGGCCCCTTCAAGGTTACCAAGAGAAAGCATCTGAATAACTCTCTGTCCTTTTTATTTTAAATCTCCAATCTTTCTACTACCCCAGTGTCTCTTTGATAGACTAATTAATTGCATGTGCTCTTACGGAACTCAAAGTAACTTAACCCAGGGTGCACAGGTGTGTTTATTTTTGGAAATACGAGTTATTAATTACCTAGAACTCTTGAAAATTTAACAGAAAAGAAACTTTTAATGATACTAAAAAGCTGGTTTGGCTTTTTAAAATAAAAAATATTATTTTCTACAACTTTGTTTTTCAAAACTTTAAGATAGTAAATGTGAAAACTTACTTTAAAAGAGTGGAGTCAGCAAGTTAGACTACACTTCCATTCTTTTTAATTTTGAATTTTTAGTTTTATTCTCACCCAAGGGGGGCGGGGGGAAGACATCAGTGTGAAAGAGACACATTGATTGGTTGCCTCCCGCACGACCCTAATCAGGGTGGGGATCAAACCTGCAACCAAGGTACATGCCCTTGCCTGGAAATCGAACCCATGACTCTTTGGTCCGAGGGCTGACACTCTAACCACTGAGCAAAACCGGCCAGGGCTACGTTTTCATTCTTTGTGTGCTTTTTTTTTCACAGTGATTTCTGGTATTATAAAAGTTGGTAACTACATTTTTATGTAGGCTTTAGGTCTGTTTTATTAATCTAGACATTCTTGTTTAACAATTTCATTTCTATGTTTTTTGGGGAAAATATAATTCAGAATGAAATAATACTGTATATTAAGGTAAAATATCTTTTTATAAATATAAAATGTGTTTTGTGAATGAATATGTGATTTTCTAGGGTGTTTCACATAAGTATACCTGTCATATGTCTAAATTCTTCTGAGTTTATGAAATTACATTTATTAATTTGTAGTTAAGACTAATTGTTTTTAACTAAGGGGATATGCATTGATAGTATGCAGTGCTGTGTAATGTTTAAAAGCAAGAGGTCTGGGGCCACGTGACTTGAATTCACATTATGGCTTACTTTGGGGAAGTTTTTAACCCCACTAAAACTCTTTTCTTTTTTTAAGGTGAGACTAATAAAAGGACTGAGATTGTATCTCCTCTATGGTAGTGCTTGGCATGTGTTCTTAGTGACTTCTCTATACTTGCCCCTTTCCCAATAGGCTTGATACATGTGTTATTGTCATACAAGAAAAGCATAGTACCTAGAATTCGGGAATCTGAATCAGACTTGAATGGGGCTGTTTATATGCATCCATTCTCAATTAGATCTGGCATATGGATGTTTTGTTTTATATAGTATTTTTTTCTTCAGCATTTGTTTTAAGTAGTGCCTTTTATACTGTCCTGACAGTACAACCAGTATTTCTATTTTATAGGAGTGATGTTTTAACTATTTAAAAATTAAGAAAAAATTTTGAGCAACAAAAGATTATGTGACTAAAACAACAAAAGAAAATGATGTTACAGAGTTATCACAGGTTATACTTTCAAAATATAAAGTGTCTCAGAATTTATTTGTTATCTCCCATTCCAGACAATGTGCCCTGTGTGTTTGGATCGTCTAAAGAATATGATTTTCCTCTGTGGCCATGGAACATGCCAGCTCTGCGGAGACCGAATGAGTGAATGTCCCATTTGTCGCAAGGCTATTGAACGAAGGATCCTTTTGTATTAACGAGAAACTCAGTGTGTTTTGTTAGCTAAGGTATTTGGTCATGAGATCTTAGTAAGCTTTTAAGCTAGTTGGAGGTTCTAATGAATTAATTTTTAATATTATAGTTTCTTTACTAGACTCTAATTAGACTGTAAATGTACCAGAACAAAAACTATAAACCAGTGTTTGAAGTTGTGTTTTTTTTCCCTTTTGGTTGTTTATGTTTGTTTGTTTGTTTGTTTTAATTTGAAATATCAAATCCATGTACTTCATAGGTAATTTACTATTGGCTAAGGGGAAAATGTACCAAGGAGGAAAATCCTTTAAAGATCTCCTGTTACAGATTTGTTAGACTTCAGAAGATAGACTTCCTTATAATCTACTATCCTTTATCATGATTTTATACAGTGAGTTGACACAGGTACTCAGAAAAGTTATTTATCAAATGAAAGGGGCAAGTCAAACCATTCTGTCACATATATTAAAGGAATATTGAAGAGAGAATTCTTTTTAAAATAACAAAGTTATCCAAATGATTGTTTCTGAATTCTTAGAGAAAATGGAAGCATAGAGTGAGAAAATAATGGCTTTGCAGTTAGCTCATTTTCTAGATTTGAAAAGAAAAGGAAACTTGAATCCAGTTGCCAATTTCAAAATGGCTGGTACACATGAAAAGGAAAAATTATAGTGGGAAACTCAAGGGAGGAAAACTGTTCAGGCAAAGAGTATCCATTAACTGCTATTAATGGTTGCCTTTCTTATATTAATTTATACACTGTTTTGTTCAGCCAGCCTTTAAAGAAATGCCTATGAAAAGTGTGCCTTGGTTTCCCTTAGGGTTACTTATCCAAGCTTGATCTTTCTAGTGAAGTGATAGTCTCCTAATTGGCCTCTGAGGTTTGATTCAGCCTTTTTAATGTACTGAATAGTAGTACTCCAGTGATCTGAGGACAATGCATTGTCTAAAGTCAGCAATCCTTTCTTCTCCACATCTGTTCATTCTGACAATGATACTGATGCTAGGCCTTGCTTCCATTCTCTCAGATAGTAAGGCTTACTATAAAGAAAACAGTCTCTCTTCATACCTACAGATGAGAATATTAAACTGTCAACAATATCCAAGACATAGTAAATAACCTACAAATAAATACTTACATTACAAAAAGTGACTTGGACATTTACAGAAATGTATTCGATTACCTGTAAATTTCTTTTAACTCAAACTTAGACTTTAGTCAAATCATTTTCTCTCCTTTGAATGAGTAATCTTATTTAGGATGAATATGCACATAAATGTTTTGGGGTTTATTGCTGCTAAGTTATTAAGATATCAGCTGTTTATGATAGTGTCTACTATATGCTGTGTATAAGCTTATTCCTGAGGGTAGTTATCTTTTCTGTAGTTTTTCCCCTCTGAATCTGATTAAGTCAGTTTTTCTGCTACAGAAACTTTGAAAGTACAAAGTCTTTAGCCCTCAAAGCATCATATTTCTGACTATTTAATGGCTGCTGCCATTGCAAGTCCTGGAGGAAACAATGGTGAACTTTACTGGCTGATTTTATAGTCTTGATAATTTCATATCTGTGTTTAGCTGAGTAACATCATTTAGAATGAAAATTTTTTTTTATAAATTTACATTTGAAACTTTATTGATTCTACTCAGTTATCTAATAAAGGGCCAATAAGGCTATTTTTAAGCCATATTTTGAAGTTATAAAAAGAATATCTGACTGATGATGTTCACCTAAAGAGAAGCTATGCTCTTTCAGATATGAAAACAGCATACGTCAGGATTTTCCTTTTCTCCTATGCCACCCATCTCTTTTCCAGTAGATCGATCAGCTGGTAAGGAGGGGGCACCTGGCTGACTCATGCTTAGTTTGGCCAACCAGAGGATTTTATGGTCTCGAGCTCTACTTAAATCCTTTTTATTTGTCTTCTGAGCTGCATTGCTAAAACATATATTCCTAAAAGGCAATTTCATCTTCCAGACTTGTTTATTTCTGACATATTAAAAATATAATAACTTGTAGACTATAGCAAAAGTTATAAAGTCAACTATAATTACAGTGCTATGCACTAGTGGATTTTCTGTATTTTTATCACTTTGAAATTTACTGAATACAAAATGTTTCTCTATTTTCATTTTCAAGCACCTGAAAAATTATTTTAAATTTATTTTGGGATTGTAAGAGAGAATAAAATTAAGAACTTTTGTGACTTTCCTCTAACTCTGTGAAACTGCTACCTCTTATTATATTTGCAGCAGTACCAGTTAGGTGTGTTTCCTTCTCATTATCATCTCTTTATATTACACCTCAAAGAGCTTTTACTTTTCCTGGAATCATTTACAAAACTGACATGCATTCATTAAAAAATGTAGACAGAAATGGATCCAAAGGTACTGATAGCATTTCTTCTTAATGTTTTATGAGTTATCAGTAAGTAGTATTTGGACTCCTTCTTTCTACCCCCTCACTTCTACCACATTTTCTCCTTTATTCTTCTAGGTTTGTCAGCTTTGTTAACCCAAAACATACAACATATCAGATGGTGGTGCTATTCTGATTGTTTTTCTTCACATAATTTAACAGTCTTACTGCTTATACTATATACATATTTAATTTTGCTGGGATCAAGAAGGTTTTTCAAGAAAAGATCATTTTGTATTGGTATAGGAATAGTATATTCGACAAGTGTTTCGTTTAACTGGCTGAATTATGCTTGGTTATTTGTAATTTTAAACATTGCAAACTGACCAGCTAGCTACTGAAGCATAAAATTAATTGATAATGTTGAAAGTAACTTTCTTAAATTTATATCTTTGATGGCTTTAGCCTGTAAGACCATTCTAGCATATCTAAATGCATGCTGCTTAAGATTTGTCCAATTTAAATTTCAAAGCTTGCTTTGTTTTTACATGGTAGAACTATACACTCTAGTCTGTGTTGCCCAATTGCTGTTTTTGTTTTTTTTTAAATTTTGTTTATTACAAATTTTGTACCCTTTTGCACTAGGAATTAATTAAATTTATGAACAAGAGAATTAACAATGGGGTGGGATAGGGAGAACAGTTGGGGGTTTCAGCAAATAAGAAATGTCATGTTTGAATTAGAGAGAAAAGGGATCATGTGGATTTCATCAAAGCAGTAAGTGGAAAGAATGTATTTAATTGAATAAAAAAAAGAGTCTTTCAACCAATTTTCAGTGTAGTTTAATTGACATTGCTGTGGATAATATAGGCTCTAATACAGCTTGCTTTTTTAAAAAATCCAAAAGGAAAAGCATTTATCTTCTCAGAGTGTCTAACATACTTCATAGTAATTATTTGTGTAAAATTTGAATTTTGGAATATAATTTTTAGCATTTTTTTATTATGTTTATAAAAACACATAACATGAAATTTACTATCTTAACTGTTTTCAATTCAGTAGTCTTAAGTAAATTCAGATTGTTGTGAAACAGTCATATCTTGAAAAATTGAAACTCTGTACCCATTAAACGAGCTCCTTCCTCTCCTCCCCACAGTGGAACAGAATTTTTTTTTTTTTTTTTTTAGAATTTTGATTAAATATAAAAAAAATACTTGAAGTATCTTAATTGTTAGTGTTTGCAAGATCTAAAGTCATGGTAAACATCAAGTTCCTAAAATTTGAGAGATGAGAGAATTTCTTCTCCTACCCCTTACAATTATCAGTCATAATTGAGTAGGTTTTAAATGTTTGTTAATTGGAAGGGTTTGTGAGTTCATTTTGAACCAGAGGGAAGAAACATGTTTTAAACATTAGAATCAATTTAGCTTTGAACTTAAACTAAATTAGGAAGGTAAACGATTTTCACAAATTATGTGTGCCTTGTTGAAAATGTCAGTTGTCTTTAAGTCGACATGTAACTTTCAAAATTTTTTTCTCAAAAAGCAACATAATTTTATTTGCTTGACTATTATGATAGGAATGCTTTATGATATTACTTGATAGTCATATATAGCCTTGGAACTTTAACATATATATAAAACTATAATAGTATTAGTAATTACAGTTGTACTTCTTCAAAACATTAAATTTGAGGAAAAAACTATTCAGTGTTGTCTCATGTGTACATTGCTTTGCTACAGTGAGGGGGAATCCTTTAGATTGAGCCTCAGTTTACTAATAAATGGTTAGTAGTGGGTGAAACTAGAGTATTAAAATATGAACTAGATATTGGAGCTGATGAATTAAAATTGTAAGTTGCTACATTAGCATTTTCTACCTCCTTTTCTGTCAAAGTATTATTTTTCCAACATTCATTCATATTTGTGACTAAGGAGGAGATGGAAACCTGAGGTTAAAATTGAAATTTTTATTTTGTTGAGGATTTAAACAGTAGGTACAGGAAAGGTGACTGGCCACATCAATTTGGTGCCTAAATCCATGACTACAGTTGTAATTGACATGTATAAAATGTGTAAGAAAGATAATATTGCCAGATATCTTACTTTTCCTGTACAGTCTATTTGATTTTGTTTCATAAAAATGACTTCTTTCCTCCAAAAAGCAAAATGGTCTTGTAATTTTCTATAAAATAAACAAATGTGCCATTTTGTCTGAAATCTATAATTTCAGAAGCTATCGAAAGTTCTGACTCAGGGCTTTTTAACAGTTGAAACAATTGGTCATTATATTTTGGAAAATCCATCTACATAATTCTTCAGTGCCTTGAAAGAATTATTAACTTGGCAACACTACTAAAACTTTATAGAAGGCATAGTGTACATGTATTATCCTACACACATTTATAAGGTGTATTGCTTAAACTTATAAGGTGTAATAGCGATGCTGTATGTGTGCTGGGTTTGGGTAATTCTTTAAAGGAAGTTTTCTAGATTTGCACTTGATATTTGTTTTTAAAAACTGATTATTTATGGCCATGACACTGTTACCAGAAAAAGTAATTCTATGTTAAGTCATTATGCAAAGTCATGTATACATAGCATCTGGAAAGAGGATATAGGGTTCAGTTTGCCATTTTAATATGAAATGAGGATCTGTTTGGTAAACACAGATGGTCTTCCTCTCAAATGAAAAAGAGACCTTTTCAAATGATTTATTTAAAAGAAATTTTGGGGGTGGGAGTGGAAATCAGGAATCGCATGTCATTCTTATGCTAGTCTGACTTAGTGAATCCACAAAATTGTTTTTGTTAAGTTCAGTATGCTTGTGTCATTCTAAATATAGTATATTCAGTGATAGAAAGCGATTTAATTGATTCAGCAGTGCTTTGTTCTATATTTTTCCAGTGGTTTTTAGGTTTCACTTGATTAAATTTAAAGTCTTGTTTATGAATATAATTTTTGTATGACAAATGATTCTTATTAGCTTTTTTAAAAAAGGTGCTTAGCAAGAGCTAAGCTTTTAAAAATAAATGCATTTACCATTAATAAAACCGATGATGTAATATCATTATATAATGCTTTCCTCTGATCTTTTGAACCTATTCTTTATAGACATACACATGAATTTTGATTCTTAAGGCATTTGAAAACAAATGTCAGTATATCAAATCTTTTATTAGGAAATACATTTTGATGTCTTTAAGAAACAGGACATACATCTCCAACTCAGTAAGATACCGATGTTCACATCTAGAAGGATCTCATTACAATTGTTTACATTTAAGGTACCTCTATCTAAAGGGCCAAAGAAGCTTTTCATATTTGAACACCTCGCACTCTTTCAGGATTAAGATATATTGTGAAAGTAGCCTGAATAGGATAATTTGATAGACAATAAATCAGTTAGTTAGGAAAACTCAACTTTTTCTATAAAAATTTTGTTTCTCTTCAAAACTTTGATGTAGATTTTACTTTCAAGAGTACATTTTAAATGACTAAGTTAGTAATTGAGCGGTTTGAGGGTTATTATTTCTCAAGTTAATAGAAGTACTTATTTGTGAAGTTATTGAGAGGTTATCTAGTTTGAGTTCAAAAGATTGAGTATGTGTATCTCGGATGTTTAAGAGGAAAACCATCTGAAACAATCTTTTAAAACTGTTTATTTGGAAAAAACATGTATTTCCACTTCAGAATTGTGAATTTATTTTTGGATAACCTCTAACTGTATTTTTGTTTTTCTGTTGCTGTATAATTAGATATTTTGTGGCAATATTTTATTAAATTGAAACTCTGTATAGGTTTTAAAAATAAAGCCATTGTAGAAAATTGATTTATATATATATTTTTTATCATTGACAGTTACTCATTCTGTACAGAAGTTAGTTTGTCTTATAGTGTGGAATTTCCCAAACTTACTGACAGTGAAAACTTCTAAATGGTGTATCTCAGAGCAATGTAGACATTTATAAGATAGAATAAGTGCATGGGTTAAAATAGAACACCAAAAATAATCTGAAGATAAATTCATTGCCTAAGAATGATCATTTGGCTAGTAGTTTTTCCCTTTATTTTTTATTGGGTTTATTTTGGTGATATTTGTTAATAAAATTATATAGGTTTTGGTGTACAATTCTATAATACTAGTTTTTCTCTTTGTAACAAAACTAGTTGATAAACTAATTTTTATTTTGGTAAGGATAAAAAAAAGATAAACCTGTAAGTAAGTTTATAAGACAAGACCAGGAAAGAGACCATCAATTGCTAAGACAGTGACATATCAATGAGACTTAGGCCATGCAGCCTTTGCACCGATGCTCTAATCCAGCGTTTTTCAGCTGGTATGCCGCATGCAATACCTGACTATTTAGTCAGGGGCACTGACCTCTTTTCCCTAGATTGTCAAATAAAATAATGACAACAGCCAACACAACAATAGCCATCGGTATGAATGAATAAAAAATATATCTATTTTTTGTAAGATTGGCAAAAAATACATGTTTTGGTGTGCTGTAGAATTTTAGTAATTTGTGCCATGAGATGAAAAAAGTTGAAAACCTCTGCTCTAATCAAATGTCATGCTTTAGGTGCCCCTTCATACTAGGAACTTGCATTCTCAGATGTGGCAGCTTTCTGAGAGGCAGATTTTCTTTTATCTTTTTTTAAAATATGTTTTTATTGATTTTTTTTTTTTAGAGAGAGAGGAAGGGGGAGAGAGCTAGAAACATCAGTGTGGGAAACATAC